TATCTAATTCTCGAGAGGAGAACTCTCGCAGGGTAAAATTTTGTAAGCACATGTTGTACATACTGAATTGATTACTCCTAATTTTGTTATTGCTGTTGTATATCCAGCCCAAGCCAACTCTACTCATTAGCTTTCATTGAGCTCCTCATAATGTTGGAAATACTGTAAAGGACGTTCTCACACATTCTGAAATGTTGTTGGGCTTCAAAAATCGTGTACAATATTGAGAACTTTTCTTGTGCATTATCATTTTTCTCTGAATGTGTTTTATTACAGTTGATTCTATTTATTTCTGATACCTGTATGTAATTACATAATGCGCATTCATATTTATACATACTAGGAGTGATCGTATATTAGGGAGTGCGTTCGATATGTTATGTGGCTGCAGTCTGATGGGGGAATGTTACAACTGCTTTGTGCTTCGATCGATGTGCAAGAGGTGTTGACTTCTTAGGAGTAAATTATAAGTAACGGGAAGTAAAGATCTTTGCGACGTGACCTTATTAATTCTTTGACTCGTAGAATCGGTAAATTTGTGTGGTGACCCCAAATCTTACCATTTGCCGTCATCGAGCAACATAACTCGGTGACTGTAAGACTTATTATCTTGTTCGAACAAGCCATGGTCGTTTTCTGTAAGCTCAGAGGTTTTGTTTCATTCATCGATCGAGTTGACAACACAGGAATCATACACAACGTTGTGTTGTTGGCATTACGGCCCTTTTGAATGTTGCATCTTGAACACTGTGGGTATCACGGTCTATTACGGATGACCTGGGATCTATTAAACAATTAGATTATGAGCTCGAGATTTCTATTGCGTGATAGTTGACGAGGGCAACTATCACGCGCGTGAATAATCTAATTGTCTTAGTATAAATCTAGTATTCGTTCAAAACGTAATCTAAATCCTCTTCAAAGACACTTCGAAAACACAAAATCGCGGTCCCAGCGCACGCTGCTACGCTACTCTCTATCTACAACCTATCTACAACATGAATAGATAGTAGCGTAGCCAATCAGAGAACGGCATTCGTGATAGAACACTAGTAGATTTATACTAAAGGGTTGTAGGTGATGTGGCCGTCGCGGAGGTGTCGTATACCGTTGCCAACCTAGCTTTACGAAAATTACATCAACTACGAGTCTGAAGACCAAGAAACTAAAAAGAAACATTGGCCGGCCAACATCAGATGCACTTAAGGGGGCGTGTAAAAAATCTCAAATTCCATTATCCTCACCGATTCATTCGTTTACTTCCTCTTATCAAGGTGGCAGTGAAATTCACTCAAATGACTGAAAAATACTCCGACTAACAACAGGCTATCAAGCAAAAGTCCATTTACTAAATCCAGCTTTATTACCAGTTAGTTTTCAGTACAAAATGAACCAACAAAACGATTAGAACGAGACAAATTACCACAAATACTATACGAGTTCTTCTCGAGCTCTGGAGAATCTCCTTCAAGGATTATGTGCCGCGTACTTAACAGGCGTTTATTTGGAATCTGTAAGTAACTGGCAGAGAGAACCAGTCAACAGCGAGAGAATATTGCATCTTCTTAGGAAACTTCAGTTCAAGATGGATATCGTTCCACAATCATGGCGTGTCCCTGGAAGAAAGGAAAACAGTCAACTCAAAGGTGTTAATTCTCCTTACTGTGTGTGAGAATTGTTTTTATGCGAGTTGGGAGATTATGGTAGCACATCGGCACAACATTCCAGTAAGGTATATTGATGCCATATGGATCTGGCGGGATGTGTCCTCTTGAAAGGACAAACACAAAGGCATCGACGTCTTTAGCCTAAGAAAGCAGACGTACTTTCGGCTCTCGCGTCTCCGCCGAGACAAGCGACAGCCGGAAATACGTCTGCGTTCGCAGGCTATGACGTCTTCTGTAAAAGCCACGTTCTTCCCGGCAAGAGAAAGCAAGTGACTTCCAGAGATGTATTCAATCCGAGCAAGGTTCAACCTCGGTTCAAAGACTCTGCTTCAACCTCATTCCCGTTCACTAGAGCCCTTGGTATTACTTACCAGACCCCCAGCAGCACAAGCAGCGACCAGACCGTACTTGCCGCCCTCCTTCAGTAATCTGTTGGCAGCTGTGGTGACCAGCCGAACACCAGTGGCACCAAATGGATGGCCAATGGACAGCGAGCCACCCCACGTGTTAAATTTCTCCATTGGTGGTACACCGACCTGCAAATTAGTGGAATATATGTTCGATTACTGTAAACCCGCGATTTTCTTTAGAGGAGTTAATTAGCAACTCGGCAAGGAATACTTGAGGCCAGGATGAGATAGCATTTTGAATTCAGTGTGCTTTTTCGCAAGGGCTGATTTAGGCCGGCTATGAAGAAACACTTGGGAATTTCCGCCAAGATTAAAGCAAACGCGGCGATTGTTCCACCCGCGTAGCCTGCAAGCAGACTCTAGTGTTTTGGATTCGCACTCGAGCGCTGCTATCTGGCTTTTCACTTTGGCACGCGAGCGAGTTTACAAACGACGAACGACTCGCTGCCGACTCGTCTCGTCTCCCTCTCGCGGCTTCGCCGCTCGCATCCCCGGTCCAAACACGAGAGCCTACTCGCAGTCCACCACCTTTTACGACACTCAACTGAAAATCTTTCTGATGTACAGAGATAGTAGGATACATTGACCTGCTAATGCAGTCTATCTCGAGAGATCTGCAATCCATTTCAGCCCTCGCATACGTTACTCACCCTCGCTTTCTAATGGGTTCCTATCATTTTTCAAACCACTATTGTTCGACTACCAATCACNAAAGTGGCTAGTGGAAATCAAAAACCTATTAGCGAAAACTAAATTTCTACTAGTCTGTGGCTAGTTGGCTACCGTTAGTGTCGAGCCCTGAAAGCAGCCCTTTATCTAAAGCCATGACTCATGGATGGAAATTAACACTTTCTATCTCACCCATAGAGTCTTAATAAAATCGAATGATTACACCTCCGAGATGGGGGTTCTGTCAAAGTCAATACCTCTATGTCTCCCATGTAACATTGTGCAATCTTTTAAGCGAATTCTCTTAAAATAAGTTGCACTGTGCAACATACTGCTCAGTGCACAAGCTTGTTGTAAAACACAATGCATGGAATACATATACTGCACCACCCACTGTATGTACACTGTTTAACAGAACCATAATCATATTATGAAACCTTTAAAGATCATGCAACATAATGCACACATATTACCTTGTTTAAAGTAAGCAATGTTTTCCTGAGAGGTCTGCTAAGTCTGATGGGAACATCCGACATAAATTCCACTCCCCCGGCAATTGCCGTATCGCACTGACCACTGGCAATCAAACCAACAGCTGAACAGAAAACAACACATTCTTTAAAAGGACATGCATACTAATGTAAGATGAAAGTCGACAGACAGAGAAAATACTGCTTGGGCTTTGAAAAAATATTGATACTTCAATTTGTTTCAGCAGGGGTTTCATTAGCATTTTCAGCGTGAAGGTAATATTGATTTTCACTGGCATGCAAAACTTTTTGAACTGAACTTCTTTATAGGAAAACTTTCCTGTAGATGGTCAAACCAGGCAAGCAGAGTCATCCTCACAGATGGTCAGTTTGCCCAGTGCATGGTCCTTAATGAAACCCCTGGTTTTAGCCTTTGGGCTAGAGCATGGAATAACAGGCACATGAATGTATAATTATCTCTACAAGTGTTGGATGAATCAAGAAGATTGTTACGGTAATGAACTGTAAATTATGATTCATACACAAGTGTAACACAAGTTCAAGTTATTTTCACCTGAAGTAATGGCTTGGTTTGATGAGATGCAAGCCATGGTGACAGTGTGACATGGAGTCTTGTCTGAGAAGCCAGCACCTAGGGCAGCCTTGTGAACCAAAACATAAACTCAGCAATTCATGTTTATTTATATCCCTTTAGTCTGAAACTAAATTTTAACCTAACCCTATGATTTTCTAAATTCTCCACACCTGTCTCCTGGACAAGATGGTAAGATGCTGATCACTTTAAGAAAGTATTGAATTATTATAAACAGGTATTAATCAAGAAAAGTCCCGGACCTCTCTTGCAATATTGCTGGTTTTTACTTCTTGAATAACTGTGCCAATAACAATATGGTCTACAGCATCTGCAAACAAACAAAATGTTAAGTTTTAAAACATAGAGCAATGAAAAGCTTTTTTGAAAACTTGAAGCTTGTGAATGAGTGTTGCACGCTATTGATTTTACCTACCTTTACTTATTCCAGNGGGGGGGGAGGCTCAGATACAAGTTTGTATGATTTGAATCAAAGCATTCAAACAACTTTCTTCATTTACAGTATGGCCAAGTGCATATGCTAGGTTTAACTTCCTGGAAATGATTTTCATATTTTTCTACCAAACTGTGATCTTGCCTTTACCACTCATTCCCAGCAAGGCGAGTAGCAATAAACCAGTCACAAGGTGTTCATGATTACAACACACAACATGGATCTATCTTCACATGTTCTCAATGTAAATGGCAAGTGCCATGACTTACTCTAGTGCTCCTCTTTGAATATCATGTGATAACAAGTCAGCGTAGCTGAAAATTAATGGTAAAGGTATGTTCAGTCAGTAATGCAAATCTTCCAGGTTATTAGATACATCTCCAATTTTTTGGAGTGATTTTATTACTGTGCACTGTTTCATTCCGCCATTTTGGCTGAGCTCCGCTAAAAATACCCACTTACTTACCTAGTGCCAGCCATGAGAAAAGGAGTTCGCACTCCTTCCACCAAAACAATGTTCCTTCCAGTTTGTTTTGGGGTGGTACCTAATAATGCATGAAAATTGCAACCAGAAGAATGTAGCGTTTTCAGAAATTGATACAATGACTAGCAAAATAACTTAATTCTCTAGTTTGATAACCTGAGTTTGCTAACTATTCTAGCTAGGTAAGAGTACAACTACCTCAGCTGTTTACCTACCATCTACTCTGCAACTTGGTGATAACTGGCTTGGAATAATACGGCAAAGTGAGAATTGTGAAGTACCTACAAGATCATGTTATTGCAGTCATCACTTGCCTGTAACAAGCTGATGTAAAACCTTACTGCTGTTAACATCCAATCACTAAACAACAGCTGAGCATATTGCTATGAGCTTGCATGTGTTTGATGTCTCTGATCCCTTGTTCTAACTACATTATTCAACCTGTCCAGCTTGTCATTTTATGTTCGTCCCTAGTTATATTCATCTTTATTTTGCCTATACATGTATAGGTTTTAACCTTCCTTTTTGCTTCACGCTTTGCTATTATCTCACATATCTCCAGGGCTGTTGTTCTATATATGAGTAAACAATTAATTTGGATTCTGGATTCGAAGGCAAAATTTTACATCACAAAGAATGTTTAAACTTAAATTATTAACTGCATAGCTTTAAACAACTTAATTACTGGTAAACAAAGTGATGAGGTTTACCCTTGGAGGATGCTTTTTGCTTTTGAGAAGTACTTGCACATCTCAGGAACACTATAAATAAAAGCAACAAAGTAAAAATATCATTGCCTATGATAATTTGTAGCTTTCATATTTTCAGCCCAGGGAATTTAAAGATTTTAAGAATTTTGTCAGCTGAAAACTACAGCATGGTAATTTTTGCAAACTAAATCCTGCTACAGTCTCCTTGTCTTTTTGCACCATCTTACCTTAGGAGTTAGGCCTTTGTTTAAAACATGAAATCAAATGTTGAAATGACAAAATGGTACTAAAGGTAACAGTCAATGTGAGATTCAGGTGTTTATAAGGATTAACCTTTACAGTAATAATTATTTTTTGAGAGATAAGCACTGTCGAGCCAGTGAAAGTTAGACCAAGTAACCTGACCAATATTTGAGCTAACCAGAGTTAGTATTATTAGCACTATTTAGGTTAACTGTAGTGCCACAATTTTTGTCATTTCGCCATTTCATGCTTTAAACACACCCCTTACCTTAAATATTCCAAGTTGTGCCCCTGATAACAGTCAACCAAACAGTGTAATTTTAAATTCTCTCCACCAGCTAATTCACAATTTGTTTTTAGCATCTGATTTAGTTTGACGGTGATTATTTTAGTTGAAACCTGTTGTTTGCAAGGTGGACAATACTATCCAGATTGAAAGTGCTAACAAAACCGAATAGATGTACACCAGATGACAATTTTTTTTAATAATCCGGCATGTGCATAGTTATATGCCGCTTGAACAACTTGGCATCAAGATTTTAGGCTGTTCAAGACAGCTTTAGTGAAAATGTAAGCTTATGTAGTAAGTTTATTTTTAAAAAAATCGTACCGCAATATTATCATCATCAGCGCGATAAAATTTAAAGACATCGTTAACAAAAACAAATCAAACAGCGATAAAAAGCCCACTCTAAATTAAAGTTGCGTGAGTTTACTGAAACGTACAATTAGAAATTTCCATGACTTTGCAATTTGGACTTTGATCTTATCCACGTAAATACACCAACGTCTTGTAAATTTCCAGTTTAACGAGAACTTGCCGTAAAATCAAAAAATATATTAATGAAAGGTTTCCTTAAATAAATTTACTTACAAGTATTAGCGTTTTTACTCTGACAGTTCCTTGCAAAGGTTCTTAAAACTTTTCCACTGCAGTACACGCTGGCCGCCATATTGGTTCTGCGGGAAGTGAAGGTAACCACGCCTTCAATGCTCGATTGTTTACGATTATAAGTTCAATCAATGTCAAATTATCCGACACTTAACGAAGATTGCCGACTTTTTCCGGATATTTGAAATTATGGTCTGCGTTGAGGTCTGCGCATGCGTGATCTTCCATGTGCGCGGGTGCGCGGGTTCGCAGGACTTCAATTCACAGAACTAGTGGTGAGGAGAATCGTAGGAGCTCGCAAATTGAAGTCGATTTGTGAGCTCCAGTCGGCTGGAAATGATCATCTTGCAACGACTGAAGACCTGCTAAGTTACGCTTGTATCGTCTCCAGTTATGGCGTTGCAAGTGAAATTCCCGTTTGGGAAATTAGTGAGCGTGCTTGTTACTCACGTGGAAGCTTCAGGCGACTTCTTCGTTCAAATCAACAGCGAGGCGGGAAAATTAGATGCACTCATGGAACAAATTGAACATAATGTGTTAACCGGGAGAGCAAGAGCACCGAAAGCCTCAGAAATCATGGTCGGATCTATTTATTTAGCCCAATATCAAGAAGACAGTCGATGGTACCGCTCTCGAGTGTTAGATGTGAACACGACAGAACAGCAGTGTGAAGTTTTTTTCGTGGATTATGGAAATACGGATTTTGTACCACTAAATTGCATCAGAAATGCCGAGGAGAAGTTTTGTGAACTACCACAGCAATCGTTCGAGTGTGAATTGGAGGGGATTAATCGGTTCCGCGATCAAAGCTTCGAGGAAACGGTAGCTTTGCTAAATGAAACCATTGTGGAACAAGAACTTTACTGCAAGGCTGTGCAGCTGAAGAAAAACTGCGTTCTAGTTACACAGCTTTTCTTTGACGAGAAAGGTACCAAGTCTGTTTTTGATCAGATGCAAAGTGGAGGTCCCGGCGCTGAGGAACATTCCATGATAAGCAACGGAGAGAGCTCTTTACCTCAACAGTTGAACCGAAAGAGAGAAGTGAAATTCAAGACGATGAGTCTACCTGCTGATTCATTCCATGATCTCAGTGTCACCTGGGTGGAAGATCCGTCACATTTTTGGTGTCAGCTTTTGACAAACACAAACACAATTGCTGCATTAATGGAGAATCTAGCTGAAGTGTACACTAATCTGGAGCCAGCTGCATTTCCCCTTCAGTCATGCACAGTGGGCTATCCTTGTTGTGCAAAGTTTTATGAGGACGATGCTTGGTACAGGGGAGTAATCACCAATGTGAGTTCCATTGCTACTGGACGAATTGAAGTCAGATTTGTGGATTATGGCAACTCGCAGGACACAGAGCTGTCAGACGTGAGAGATTTAAAGGATGAATTTCTCAAGGACCCATGCCAAGCAATGTACTTTGCTATTGCTGGTGTTGATCCAGCAAGTAAGGATGGGATGTGGGCAGATGAAGCCAAAGTGTTATTTGAGAAGCTGATCAACCTTAAACATGTTGTGGGACTTGTAACCAGCGTGGAGAATGATGGAAGACATCGAGTGAAGCTAATGGACACTACATCAGATCTGGATATGGAGCTCAACCAGATTCTTATTGCGGCCAACTATGGCGTCAAGTCGGCTGACACACCCACCACTACCACCTCGACTGTAACTACTTTGAAGTCATCTCAGCCAGCCACCAAGCCTATGTTGCAGCTTGTCTTTCCAAAAGAAAAAGTTCAAGTTGGCATAGAGGAGAAAGTTTTGGTGACAAACATCATCAACCCTTCAAAGTTCTACTGCCAGTTGTTTAAAAATGGTCCTAACCTTGAGAGTTTGATGCAAGATATTGGACGCCACTATTCCAAACTTGGTGCAAATGAAGAACTTTTGTCATCTCCATCTCCTGGTGATCCATGCTGTGCTCAGTTTTCCGAAGACGGTTGTTGGTATCGTGCTATGGTAATTAACTCTTCACCAAAGGGAGTTACTGTACAGTATATTGACTATGGAAACTCTGAAGTGCTGCCACTTAGCAAGATCAAGAGACTGATTCCTAAGTTCTCCGACTTGCCACAGCAAGGCATTGAGTGCACTCTGAATAGGATCAAGCCCACGTTTGTGGCAGGACAGCCCAAGTGGAAGCCTCGTGATACTGAGACGTTTATGGATTTGGCTTTGGAAAAGGAGGGCAAGTTGAAAGTTATCACCCAGGACAGCAGCGGAGTTTGCAGAGTGGAGCTTGTTGTGAGAAATAGAAGAGAAGACCAGAATGTCAGTGAACAGTTGCTGATTAATGGTAATGCTGAGCTAGCTGATGGAGCCCTGCCAGTTTCTGAAAACTATGAGAGCCTTAAATCACAGACCTTTCCCGAACCTGACCTGAAAGTTGGCCACTTTGAAGATGTGATTGTTAGTTACACCGAACATCCATGTAACTTTTGGTGCCAGCTGCGGAAATCTGCTAGACAGCTGGACTCGCTCATGGCAGAGATCCATGATCTTTACTCTTCTGAAGGACACAGGAGTTCCATCTCTAATCCGGCATGTGGTAAGATCAATTTTTTTTGTAACCTGTAACATAAATACAACACCAGAGACAGTGTTTCATCACATTTTCTAACAGTAATGAGTTCAAGAAATGGTGATCAGTATCTAAGAACCAGCCATGCTTTGTAGACATAAATGAGCAGCTTGCAAAAATAATTGAATTGAATTTTTATGGGAGCTCATACATACTAGTGCGTTCACTTTAACACACTATAACATGAAGTCCAAATGTAGTCTAATGCAGCAAAATGCACACCTGCGTTGAATCCTTCACGTTAAGAGTGCGTGTTCCATGTTCGCTTAGTTCTGAGCAGTACTGCAGCTTTCTCAGGTGACAATAACCTTGAAGAAAGTTCTCTGTACTAGAGTTTTCTTTTATTAACGCCCAAGTCGCTAGTGGAGGGAAGGTGCCTACGAAGCCCGGGGGCTGCAACTGCAGTCACGTCCCCAAGGCGCTAGAACACCCGACTGGCCTGCTCAACCCGCAACCAAGCCACGAGCCCCCCGCGCCAAGCCCCCTACAGGCACCCGTCACACTCAAGCCAGACGGCATTGGTGGAAAAAAATAAATAAATAAATAAGTAAATAACTAAATAAATAAATAAATAAATAAATAAATAAANTATACCGCTGGACAATGTCAGCCCCAGGGCTCTCACGACCACATGATTGTTGTAAATGCTACAGAAACGCACCAAACGCTAAACAAACGCTAACAGATGGCCAAGGCACTAACAAACGCCTACAAAAACGCTACTGACCAGACAGGCTCCTGGTCATAAACTACGTAAAATTTCATTAAACTATATCAAACGCTACAAAACGCACCAAACGCTAACCAAACGCTCACAGACGGCCAAGACACTGACAACCGCCTATAAAAACGCTACTGAACAGACTAGCTCCTAGTCGTTAACTATGTTAAATTTCATTTAACTATATTATAATGTTCAGGGGTTTCAGAGATGGCTGGGCACCGCGGAAAATGGCCAGTTGTGAGAACGATTTTGCCTGCCTGGTTGACCATCTAGAGGAAAGCTTTCGTTATAAAGATTAGCTCAGTTGATAAAGTTTACCCGTCTGTGAAAAACAGTAGCCCTCCTGCTTAAAACATCAATGAAACCCCTACTTGTTATCAGTCGCAAACTATTTCTTGCCATGGTTTTCCTCTGTGCTGAAGCAAAGGTGTGAAATTACTTTTGACAAATTTCAATGTGTGAGCTTTTTTCATTCATGAGGTTTTCTGTTAGCATTTTTGTCTTTCAGTTCAGACTGAAGTCCATTTCACTTGGCCAAATGCAGACAGTGCATTTACTGTTAGTTTACAGGACACTTCTCCAATGTCCATTACTGCAAAATGGGAGATATTCATTGGACATGCACAGGGCTTGACACTAACTTTTCAACTCACTAGCCTAGTGGCCAGTGATAACTTAGATGTTACTAGCCAAAAATTGTTTTTACTAGCCAAGCGTTGTGGTTGGCTACCTTATTACATGAACTGTTCGTGACACATTTATTTTGCAATTTGGGGGTGCACATATTTCAAGACACTTAAATTCGGCATTTTGCAAAAATTTTTTGTTTTTGAGTAGCACAAAATTTATTTGGCACTGTTACTTAAACATGTCCTTGAATTTAGTAAACTGACTTTATCAAAGGTACAATAACGTCAAAAGTAACAAAAACGCAACGGCGAGACTCTATGTCAACAGTAACAATGTGTTAGGTTCGCGACACTTATTGTTCACGCCACTTTAATTTTGCAAAAATTTGCAAAATTAACATTTCACGTAAAATTTAAGGTAGGTCCAATAACAGCAGAATTACTAGCAAGACTTGACTTGATAATGTTGGTAATTATATTGTGCCTAAACCAGTTTCATAAAAGTTCCGAGTTCCTGAAAAGACTTTCTGAACTCCATTTTTCTTTGAGACTTCTTGGAAAAACATTGAGACTGCAAGACGTCATTGTGAAAACTGTCAAGACTTCTTCACAGAAAGGCGCCATAGAAATGTTTAAATAGCAAAACAACTATCTGAACAATACTGCAAACTGTCATTGGTGAAATTTGACTGCTAAAAGCGGCTGATTTAAATGTCGAAGAAAATAAATCTTCCTCATCTAATTATTTCTGTAGTGGTAAGTTTTGTCAGCATGCATATGACGACAAATCACCTATGTATTGTTACGCTTAATGAAATGTGGTTAAATGTAATTTAAGCTAAGTTAAACGCGAAACAATGCTGGTCAGCAGCCTTCCCCTGTTTTGGACATGCGCAGTGGTGTGGGGTCTGCTGGGGGTCGTGTGGTTTTACAGTGTGGCTTTTGAGGTCAACTCATTCTCGCATGCATTTGTGCCATTTCGACTGTGCTTGGCAATTTAGCTCCCTGCCCTCTCTCCCTCTCTGGTAAGTATGAGGTAAGTATCATGGTTCCACTGTTTTTGCAGTGTGACGGTGCCTGGTGGTTGCCACTCACAGGGTTGTCATGGTTGCCGTACAACTCGGCTCTTGTGCACAGGGTTGTCATGGTTACCCTACACACCCGGCTCTTCTGCTCGAGGCTCCATTATCTTTCCAGGCACCTTCCCCAAGCTCATCTATTGTTGATGAGTTTAAATGTTATTCCTTTACAGTTCCACACGATCTTGTGCATGATTTTATCAGGAAGCTCGTGTTTGTTGTACTAATTTCGTAACAAACAAGAGCACTGATGTGTGCTTTCAGAAAAGGCTGCCTTGTTTGTCAAATATTTCTTTTGACGTAATAAACATGTTTACGTACCACAGAGTGAAAAGTAGACAAACTTCAATTTGCATACATGTTGAACAACAAATGCCCGATAACGTAATACGTCCACAATGAAATTCTGACCTTGTTTCCAAGAAAAGTATTATTTAATTTTATGTTTGTCTTCCTTGAAGAAGACAGAAACTAGTTTCAATTTCATTTTGTTTACTAGCCAAAGTGGCTAGTGGAAATCAAACCTACAAGCCAAAACTAAATTTCTACTAGTCTGTGGCTAGTTGGTTACCGTTAGTGTTGAGCCCTGATGCAAAAGTTGAGAAATGTAGAAGGCGCCATCCATTCTAGAAAGGAACTCGTTTTACAAGGATGGCTATTATGAGAACTAGTCTAAACATCAGTTCTTGTTCTCTGTAGGTATGCTGTGCTGTGCACAATTCACAGAGGATAACAAGTGGTACAGGGGCAAAATCACAGGTGTCAAGAGAGGAGGACTCGTGGAGGTCCATTTTGTTGACTACGGAAACTATGAAATACTTCCACTTGCCTGTGTCAAGAAGCTACAAGCAGAATTCTTAAAACTCCCTCCACAAGCAGTGAAATGTGCTCTGGCCAAAATCAGTCCCACTAACAAAGAATTGCTTTCTGATGACGTCATGAACAGATTTGAAGAGTTAACTCTAGATAAAGAACTTGTGATGATGGCTGACAAGTATGATGAAATCAGTGGTACATTTGCCGTGGTTCTGCTTGACACCACTGAAGGAAAGAACCTGGACATTGCAAGCGATCTACAGACCATCATAGGTCCAAGTACAACACGGGAAAAAGTTCAGATCATGAAAGCCCAGATTCAACCTGGTACAACTGAACATGTCTTTGTCTCCTCAGCAACAAGCCCAGCCAAGTTTTTCTGCCAGCTGTTGAAAACTACTGCTTCTTTGGATGAGTTGATGAATGGAATGTTTGAATATTACGAACCTCTGAGTCCTCAGCAGGAACAACTTTCTGAACCCTCAATTGGAGAGTTTTGTGCTGCTAAGTTTTCACTGGATGATGGTTGGTATCGTGCCAAAGTGATTGAAGTCAAAGGCAACAGTGTTTCAGTCTTCTATATTGATTATGGTAACTCAGAGACACTTTCGATGTCAAGATTGAAGGTACTGAATTCCAAGTTTCAAAGTCTTGCTAGCCAAGCTATAGAATGCTCGTTGTCTGGTAATTTCAAAGGTGTGTCTGACGATAAATTTGTAGAACTTGTCTCAGAAAAAGATTTTTCGGCCAAAGTCCTGAATGTCAACAGTGGAATTGCTGTGATTGACCTGGTATCAAAGAACACCAACCAGTCTGTCTGCGACATTCTTAGCAAGGAAAGTGCACCATCAGCGCCTTGTAACATTGCTCAGTTGCAGTGGAAAACTGGAGAAACAATTGATGTGTTTGTCCCATTTGCAGAAAGTGTGCAAAAATTCTTTTGCCAAGCTTCTGCCCATTCAAGTGAACTTGATGACCTAATGAACAGATTGGAAGAATGCTACAGCGCAAATACAGAAATTGTCTCTACCATCAAAACTGGCTCTCTCTGTGTTGCTTGGTACGATGGCTGGTACAGAGCAAAGGTAGAACAGGTGCAAGGGAAAGACACCACAGTCAATTTCATTGATTATGGAGACACTGCAACTGTTGCTCTTGACAACATTAGAACAATCAAGCCTGAATTTTGCCTTTTACCAGCTCAAGCTGTGCAGTGTTGCTTGAAAGGTTTCTCTGCCAGACAAGGGCGAGAAAACTTCAAAGATCTGGTTGTTGAACAGGAGTTTAAGGCAAAGGTTACCAGTGCAAAAAGCAGCAGTGTTTATGAGGTAGACTTAGTGCCAGTAGATGGTTCGGCGTCAATTTGTCAAAGACTGTCCAAGGAAGTAGAAATGTCAGGGCTACCATCCTTGACTGTGGCTAGCATCCAGTTTAAACCTGGTGAGAAAATAGATGTTTTCATCCCATTTGCAGAAAGTGCGCAGAAGTTCTTTTGTCAAGTCTCTCAGAATTCAAGTGATCTAGATGATCTTATGAACAAACTTGAAGAACATTACAGCTCAGATCAGGAAATTGTAACATCAATCAGTGTTGGAACTTTCTGCGTAGCCCGCTATGAAGATGGTGGATGGTACCGTGCTCAGGTCACTGGTGTTCAAGGAGAGATCATTGATGTTCTTTACATTGATTATGGTGACTCTGCATCTCTTCCACTTAGCAGCATAAGATTACTGAAGCCAGAGTTTTCATCATTACCTGCCCAAGCTGTAAATTGTTCCTTGAAAGGTTATTCCAGCAATCAGGAACCAGAAAACTTCAAAGATCTTGTCATTGAACAGGAATTTTCAGCACAAGTTACGTGTGTAAAAACAAATAGTTATGAAGTCCAGTTGGCATCAAAAGATGGTTCTGCTTTATTCAGTAGAGAATTGTCTGAAGAAACGAAGACAACAGCAGAATCCATGTGTAGTGTGGCTAGCATCCAGTTGAAACCTGGTGATAAAGTAGATGTTTTCATCCCATTTGTAGAAAGCTCACAGAGATTTTTCTGTCAGGTCTCTCAGAATTCAAGTGATCTAGATGACCTGAAGAACAAACTTAAAGAACATTACAGCTCAGGTCAGGAAATTGTAACATCAATCAATGTTGGAACTTTCTGCGTAGCCCGCTATGAAGATGGTGGATGGTACCGTGCTCAGGTCACTGGTGTTCGAGGAGAGAGCATTGATGTATTTTACATTGATTATGGTGACTCTGCGACTCTTCCACTCGGCAGCATAAGATCACTGAAGCCTGATCTCTCATCATTACCTGCCCAAGCTGTAAAGTGCTCCTTGAAAGGTTATTCCAGCAGTCCGGGACCAGAAAACTTCAAAGATCTTGTCATTGAACAGGAATTTGAGGCCCAAGTGACAAGTGTGATTACTCAGAATACTTATGAAGTTGAATTAGTGTCAAAAGATGGTACTTCCAGCTTAATTAGTAAAACATTGGCCAAAGATGTTGAAACAACACAAGAACCACTCTGCAATGTGCCTAGCATACAGCTAAAACCTGGTGACAAAGTCGATGTTTTCATCCCATTTGTGGAAAGTGCTCAGAAGTTCTTTTGTCAGGCATCTCAAAATGCCAGTGAACTAGATGATCTCATGAACAAACTTGAAGAACATTACAGCTCAGTTCAAGAAAGCATGACTTCAGTTAGTGTTGGATCTTTCTGTGTGGCACAGTATGAAGATGGTGGATGGTACCGTGCACAGGTCACTCAAGTCCAGGGTGAAAGCATTGATGTATTTTACGTTGATTATGGTGACACCGCGACACTTCTGCTTAGCAGTATAAGATCCCTGAGGCCAAAGTTTTCATCATTACCTGCCCAGGCCATGAAGTGCCATTTGAATGGGTGTTCTACAAATCAGCAACCTGAGAACTTCAAGGACCTAGTTCTTGAACAAGAGTTCCAACTGCAGGTGACTGGTAGCAAACAGCCTGGTGCATATGATGTGGATTTATTCTCTAAAGAAGGATCCAAACTGTTTGATGAAGCACTGCCCAGTGAAGCCAAGAATAAAGAGATAGGTATGTTGAGATTTTAAGCTTTCTGATAAAGTTTTTCATCTTGTCTTTACCTCTATGTCTGCATAATTTTACAGTAGGAGTTTGTGTTTGACTCTATTAGTTAGACTAACACAACTACTGTCTCTTGCATCTAAGCTTGAACCTGTGATGCCAAAACATGCTCTAATTGGGTGTCAAACATGGCATGATTGGTGATCAAACATTGGGAGTTTAGCAGACTGGTGCAAACTTTGCACTAAAAGTCCATACCACGGTCTGCTAAACTTCAAATGTTTGATGACCAATCGTGCCACGTTTGACACCCAATTAGAGCATGTTTCGGCATCACGTGTTTGCGCTTAGATGCAAGCAATGGTAGTTGTGGTGGGGTTCAATTTTTCCCTTGTTACAATTTGGTATTTTCCTTTGTTCAGGTGTGTGGCAAAATATTGTGATGCGTATGAAACAAAGGAAAATACCAAATTGCATCAAGAGTAATATTGAACCACAACATTTACACTCAGAAGGTCTTTGATACATTCATCTTTATGCTGTCATTCCACTTAATAATCTTGAATGAAATGCCCTGAAATAGAGTGGAATTTGACTGCAGTCAAGTGCGGCGTACAAAGTTAGCTCCAGAGCTAACAGAAGAGTGACTACGGTGGAATCCTGATTTCTTGAACGCTAGATTTTTCGAACCTCCTGATAACTAGTACCAAAAGTCTTTTCCCTCATCTTGGTTGAACTACCCAACATTTCAAACCAATTTTCGTGTCCCTTGGAGGTTTGAAAAATCTGGCTTCCACTGAAGTCTGTTAGCTATTCTTCGCAGCTCATGCTAATAAGGTGTTCAGAGTGTAACTGTAGTTTCTATCTCAGTCTGTATTAGCTAAGCTTCAGTGTGCCTCTTGTCTTACCACCACCTATGTAATATAACTGTAGGTGGTTATTTAAGGGGAGGCAGAACAATTGGATGCCAGATTGCCCACCAGGATTGTCCTTATCTCTGTGGACCAACCTGGGAACTGGAATCCAACAATTCAATACACGAAAACTTGCATAAGAAGTAATTATGTAATTAACACTTATGTGTGACATGTTATGATAAGTGATTGAAATGTAGTATCAATTGTCATTCAAAAGATACAAAACTTTCCATATATTACAGAGTACTTTGTATTCTCCGGCCCTATCCCCCACTCGGGGCAAGGAACTAAGCTACTTTGTATTCTGCCACAATGTGATACAGCCTTTCAGTATGGCTCTTGGGAAAATTTTGTTTTGCAGACCAAAAGCATGCAGTTCTCAAACAATTTCGGTCAAATGCTTTGATGTCTGAAATTTTGTTCTTAACCTCCTGTAAGTGACCACTTGACAGATAATAGAATGAAAATTGGATAATAAGGCATTGTAGTCTATCAGAAGCAGACCATGATCATTGAACAGATACCTTGGGAAAGCTCAAATGTTTTTGTGGCTACTAAAAGTTATTACATGCGTTTAGATGGGTACTGATGCATGGGGTAAGTCTCTGCAGTTACCATATGCTAACGAGTCAAAATTTTGATCCAACATGGTCTGAGCTCTCGTAAGCGACCATCCCCCGTAAGTGACCACCTAGGTTTGACATTTTGGGTGGTTGCTCTCAGGAGGTTGAACTGTATTATATAGCTTTTGTTTGGGTGGTCGTGTACGGGTAGTTCAACTGTATTACATAGCTTTTGGGGAAATTTTATTGCGGGATGCAGCGGGTAGCCAATCGCAGCACAGGATTTGGTTCATCTTGGCTGCTCCAGGAGCTTGATATATAATAAATGAATGTTAGAGTCGTGGTCTTTCGAAGTGGTGTGATTAAAGAACACAGATTTCACGATCATTCATTTGTGCTTTTTTAAGGTTCCCCACAACTTTCAGGACTAAATGTTGGCACATTTGTCCAACTCTGTCCCATTGCATGTGTCAGTCCACACCAGTTTCACTGCCAGGTTGCAACACCTGAGCATAAAGAGAAGCTGTCGCAGTTGATGGATCACCTCCAGGAATACTATGACGTAACAGGAGATCAGGAACACAACATAGCAAACCCTGTGGTGGGAATGAACTGTGCAGCACTGTTTGCAGGTTTGTTGTGTGTTTTTAAAAAGGTTGGAAGATTCCTCCCTGCTCGGAAACTTTGCTTTTTAGTTCATTGGCAGGGCAGGAAAAAATCTAAGCCCAATTATTGTTCTGGGCAAGTAAATTTTGCCCTAGGTATAGGTTAAGTCTGCATACGAGCTAAGTGGCCCATCAGGCCGAGGCTTATCCTGGTTTCTGTAGCATGTAGTGACTAGGAGTATTTTTACTCCCCCCTGGATTGGATGTTAGTCCATTACAGGGTTACCTCCAGTATGAAGGTTGACCAGTACCCATTTATACACCTGGGTGGAGAGAAGCACTGTGAGAGTATAGTGTCTTGCCCAAGAACACAATGTAATGCCCTCAGCCATGGCTTGAACCCAGACTGATAGATCCAGAGACAAACGCACTAACCGTGAGGCCACCGTGCCTCCCACATAAATTTTACTCTGGGGCAAGCAAAAATTGTCTAAGTAGTCTTGAAGTATGAGTGAAAATGTCAATTGATACAATTATAATTTCCAGTCAGAAACTGTTTCAAAACTTGAGACTGCAAGATAGCAAAATAATGAGATGAAAGCCTGGATTAATTTACCATCTAAGCATACTTTATTGTTTTGCTTCATCCTCTGGACACCACATTGACTACCACATTGGCATGTCATATTTAAGTGGAAGCAAGTGAAAACTGAAATTTACAGGCCTACTGGGGAAGAGGATTTCAACATATTTTCCTTCCCTGCCAGACTGGGCGTTACTTTCAACTTAAAACTACAGAGCACTTACATATAAAACCTATACTTTCATTCCCTTAAAACTGCATTTCATGCAAAACAAATTGTGTAATGATTTACTTCAGATGATGAGATGTGGTATAGAGGAAGAATTACTAAAGTGGTGGATGGTCAGTTTGTGGAGGTGTGTTACGTAGACTTTGGCAACTGTGAAACGGTGCCTGTAAGCAAAGTGAAGGCAATAAAGAAGGAGTGGACAGAGCTTCCTGCTCAAGCCATCCAGTGTAGCTTAGCTTCCATCTCACCTGTCAGTGGTCCAACATGGCCAGATGCCATTGTTGATAGGTTCAAGAACCTCACAATGCAGAAGATGTTAGTTGGAAAAGTCATCAAGAAAGGTAAGGGGAGGAAAATCCCTGTATAATTATGTTTATACAGCCTGGTGTGCACACTGTCTGCATTAAACACTACAGAGAGCATGGAAAACTTGAAAGCTTTTGTGAATTGTAATTAGGAGAGGAACTTGTTGGTACATATCTGTGTAAAGGGATCAGGGTGAACCTGTGTAAGGATCAATGTTCATTAGAATTTTGAAGCAACTTATTCTCTGTTATTACCTTTTATTGAAACAGGAAGTGAGAACATCCTGGAGATTGAGCTCTTTGACACAACCGAACAATCAGTTGACATCAACATTGGTGACCTGCTGGTGAAGGAAGGACTTGCTATCCGTGGCACTTCTAAACCTGTTGTAGCAGTCAAGTCCTATGCAGCTCTTGGAAAAGTCAAACCTGCAGAGAAGGAGAAAGTGTATGTCTCTGCCATGGAGTCTCCTGGATGCTTTTTCTGTCTAGTCAGTGGAACAGAGGAAAAACTTATGGCTCTTATGAGTGAGATATCATCTACTTACGATTCCTTAGCCAATGAAGAGCTCGCCGTGAGTGCCATCAGTGTGGGGGACGTTTGTTGTGCACAGTTTTCTGAGGATAACCAGTGGTACCGTGCTGTTGTTGAAGATAACACAAATGGTGCACTAACTGTAAGATTTATTGATTATGGTAACACAGAAACATTGCCAATTAGTAGAACTAAGATCCTGAAAGATGCCTTCTTTGCTGAGCCTCCTTTAGCAGTTAAGTGCAGCCTTCTTGGTATCAAACCTGCAGTTGGTGAGAACTGGCCTGATGAATCTTGTATACTCTTTGAGGAACTCACTGCCGAGAAGGAGCTCAATGCTAAATTCTCGTCCTTCACAGAACCATTTGAGATTCAGCTGAATGAAAGTGGCATGGATATTGGAGAAGAGCTAGTTAAGGCTAAACTGGCTGCTTCAACGAAAACTGCCGTAGAGCCAATTGCTCAGGGAAAGCCAGCAAGTGGACACTATACAAACCCTGTTGTAGAGTGTGGTAAAATATATGATGTTGTCATGACTCATCTGTCTTCTCCTGGAAAGTTTTTCTGTCAGCTTGTAGACATGAAGGAGCAGCTTGATGGGAGTAAGTGTTTCCAGACTAGTTAAGCTATGTTTTGAATTTCACAGTATCTTGTCAGACCTCTGTCAGCATTCAACTCCAGTTGACTGTATCTGAATGGGCACCCCCTCTGCATTCCTTTTAGTTAGCTGTGTACTTGATTCATGTTAACCAAGCATGAAAGAGGCAAAAAAGGAGGCAGTGTGGCCAAGTGGTTAGGACGTGGGACGTGAAATCTGGAGGTTGCCGGTTCAAGTCCCGCTTTCACCACTAAGCTGGAGTTGTTTCTTAGTAGACCCTAGTTCAGCTCCTCGGCCGTCCTTGTAAATAGCCAACTGGTCTGCCTCCTGGCAGTTGGGATTTTTAACCATGTTATGTTGATTTGCATTGTTTGTTTTGTCATTTAGTTTCACTGGCACTGAAAAGCCCCATTGGGGGAGTGGTCAATGAAGATATTTATTATTTATCTTGTCATTATTATTGCCTATAACTATGCAGTTTTGCTTGTACAGTCTGAGTAAAGCAAGGTCGTACTTGAACCTCAATAGGCAACTGCACCATTATGTAAAATTCGGGCTCACAGGTAGCACTGAATTTGATTGTATAGCTCAAGGTAAAATTGTGCTATTAAGATTTTCTCTGTTGACAGATAGCTGATCAGTGAGGAGTGTACTGTTTTATCTTGTATATATATTTTTACTGAAGAACTTTCTTTTCTTTTTTCCTCACCATTCTAGTGATGACCGACTTGAATGACCACTACTTTCAACTGGCTGAAACAGAAGGTTGTCTCGTCTCACCATCAGTTGGGCAGCCATGTGTGGCAGTTTTTGAAGAAATGTGGTACAGAGCTGAAGTCCTAAACATCTCAGTGAATGACATGAGTGTACATTATGTTGACTACGGGAATGAAGAGACATTGAAACCTTCTGGAGTTAAACAGATCACCCCTTTGTTTCTCAAGACACCTAAAGTCGCCATTGAATGTTCACTGGATCTGAACAGGGATGAATGGCCAGAGGACAGCACTGGTATCTTTGAAGAGCTGACAGCTAATGATGAACAGCTGATCATAAAAACACTGCGTTGCCAAGGTGGAAGATATGAGGTCAAGGTGTTCAATAAGGATGCAAGTTGTTTTAGTGCAGAACTCCTTAGCACCCTCGAAGGAGCAGGTATTGGTCTTATGTATTGTACAGATTCATGGACAATTCCTCTTGTAATAGGAAGTAAAGTCTAGAAACCTAGTGCCTGTGTTTTAAAAGCTCAACAAAGGAGGGGCTAGTGTTTCTCTCTTTTGGTGCCTTTTGAATTTCTGTAGTACACTTCATCACACATATGTACATTCATACATGTCCTCACACGTGCACGCACACACTCCGATAATAGGACATGCATATCTGAATTTGGATTTACAGTGTAATAATAGTATCAGTATGTGCCAAGTCTTTGATGCTAGTATTACTCAGTGAAAAAAAAAATAGCTTGAAAAGTATGGGGTGGAATTGTTTGGCTTGAATCTGTGAGATCTCTATCCTAAGGGGTTAAGGAAGTCAGGAACCCAAAGACTTTTTTTCCTAGCTTAACTGAAGGGTTCTTTAACCCATTGACATCTGTGTAAGCCATAATTGGCCACGTGAAAACCGCCCCCAAAATTACCGTGCTGACCATTACCAGCCATAAAAAGAACATGCTGACAAATGCCCTCTTTAAAGAGGTTGGGTCTAAATAGAAGATTTATGGTGTCTATTATCCCCTAAGCTAGGCCCCATATTCTTTATTTCCAACTCAGCACAAGAAGTAACCTTGAAAGAGCAAGCTTTACAATTAGGCCAGACAGAAGATGTTTATGTCGTCCACACTGAAAGCTCAGAGGACTTTTACATTCAGTTGTCAGCAATGTACCCGCAACTTGAGCAAATGATGAATGAGATCACTGAAGTGTACTCTGGCCTTGCCGATGATGTAGGTCATGAAGATGTAGTTGTTGGCAATCCTGTTTGCGCCCAATTTTCAGAAGACAATTCTTGGTATAGAGCTGCTATTAAGAGTGTGCCTTCAGACTTTGAAGTTGAGGTACACTATGTTGATTACGGAAACAGTGAAGTCATTCTTCTATCTGATATCCGTCAGTTGAGCAAAAGGTTCTTCGACCTTCCAGTGCAAGCAGTTCGGTGTTGTCTTGATTCCCCAGTGGTAGAGTCATTTGGACAAAGAGTAGCAGATAAAGAGCTTAAGGCAACATTTCTGTCACTAGAAAAAGGAAAATGGAAAGTAAGCCTTTTTGATGGGGATGGAAAAGTTGGACAAATAGATGTGCCACAGGATTCAGTTGACACCTTTCTGGTGAGAGAGTTCATTCAGCCTGCCGTCGCCCCAGAGATGAAAGAGCGTGTGTATGTAAGCCATGTGGTGAGCCCAGATGAATTCTATGTGCAGTTTGAATTTGCCCTGGATGAGCTGTCAGCTTTGAGTGTGGAACTAAGCCGGTTTTACCTTTCCCTGGGGCCATCTACCAATGTATTGAGATCTCCCTCTCCTGGAATGTCTTGCTGTGCAAGGTTTAGTCAGGATGGCGACTGGTACAGGGGTAGAATAAAAAGAGTAACTTCCTCAGGAGCAGAGGTTGAGTTTGTTGATTATGGAAATAGTGAAGTGGTATCGTTAAACCATGTTAAGGACCCTGAGAAAGGCTTCATGAAGTTGCCTCAGCAAGCTATTCTCTGTGGTCTTGATGCAACCAAAGACCACTGGTCAGCTGGAGAAGTGAACATTTTTAAGTCAGTTGCACTTGACAAGTCTTTCAATGCCAGATTTATCATCCGCGATGGGCAGAAGTGGAGGGTGTCTCTAGACAGTGGGGGAGCATCTATTGTGGACATGTTCATGACCAAAGATGCTGCAGATCTACAGCAAGAAGGAAGGGAAATTTCAAGTGTGCAAGTGGGGAGATATGCTTTTCCACAAGTTACATCAGGCCAGATTGAAGAGGTTTATGTAAGCCATGTCACAGAGTCTGGAGATTTTTATATCCAGTTGTCTAAGTCATCAGCAGATCTTGAAGCAATTGAAAACCTGGTCAGTGAAATCTATGACCAGCCAGGTGCTACAGCAGAAGCCATGGAAATGTGCTTTGTTGATTCTCTTTGCTGTGCCAGATTTAGTGAAGATTTCAAGTGGTACAGAGCTCTTGTCACAAAGGTTTTTTCAGACACAGAAGTTGAAGTCCTTTTCATTGATTATGGGAACACAGACTCTCTTCAAGTGGGATCAATGAAGCAACTTAGACCTGAGCTTCTAAAGTTTCCAGTGCAAGCAGTCAAATGCCGACTTGAAGGTTCTAAAGATATTTGGACAGAGAATGATGTTCAACAGTTTGAGTCTAAAGTTTTGGAGAGGCCTTTGCATGTAACATTTACAAGACAGGAAGGAACAACATGGTTTGTAACTATTCAAGAGCTTGACATGTTTTCAAGTAAGGCTAGACTAACGGCTAAAGTGAGATCATTCTCGAAGGAGACCTTGGACGTGAATAAGCGAGAGCAAGCATACTTTCTGTTTGCTGATTCCCCTGATTGCTTCTGGTTAAGCTTGGTAAGAACTGGAGATGATCTAGTCAGACTGATGGCTGAGATCGCTAATGTGGGGACAGATCAACCATTGGAGAAATCGCATGTGAAAGTTGGTGTGCCTTGCCTTGGAATGTATACAGAGAATGACATGTGGCATCGTGCTCAAATTGTAGAAGTACAAGATGATGCCAATGCGACTGTTTTTTACATTGATTATGGTAATTCTGAGACCCTTCCACTGGAAAGACTGCATGCCATCAGTGAATCCCAGCTGAAACTTCCTGCGCAGGGAATCTGTTGTCGATTGGCAGGGGTTCAGGGTGTTGATCCCGACAAGATTACCAATTACCTGAATGAGATGCTTGTCGAGAAGGTGGTCGAATTTGAAGTTCAAAATCAGCATGCTGATGGTTCTTACACTGTTAAACTGTTCCATCCGGGAACCTCACAGTCAATGAATGACCAGATAGTCAGCGAGTGCCTTGGAAATACCTCTCTCGTGGATGAAACTAAGTTAGAACAAGCATCTCCACCAAGGTTACCTGCAACACAAGAAAGGATCACTTTTAAGCTTCCAGAACTTCAGTCCGGTAGCAAAGTCCCTGTAAGTTATGTCTCTGCTTTTTTGCCTGCTGAGATGCGGTTATTGTTAACAGAAAGAACTGAAGAACAAGAGCAACTAACAGAGAGCATAACATCAATGTACAATGCCCTGAGTGAAAATGAACTTAAACTTGAGAATCCTGAAGTTGGGATGTTGTGTTGTGTGCATTTTTCCGAGAAGTGGTTCAGAGGTGAAATCATAAGTATTTCTGCAGATGGCACAGCAACTGTGAAACTTGTAGATTGTGGAACTCATGAGAAGATACCAATTTCAGAGTTGAAATCACTGAAGGATGAGTTCTTACAAACACCAGTTTTTGTCCTGGAAAGCAGCCTGGCTAATATCCATCCCAGTTCAGAAGATGGACAGTGGTCACCAGAGTGTTCCAGTGTCTTGGAATCACTCTGCCGCTCTAAAGCACTGGTAGCAGAGATCACAGAAGTGTTTGGAGATGTGGTAGAGTTGATTTTGAATGATGAGAGTGGAAACCAAATCAATCAGAGTCTTGTTGAGTTGGGATATGCAAAGGCATGCAACCCACAGGAAGATTTCTTTGGAGAACAACTAAATTTGAAGTGGCCAGACTTACAGATTGGGCAATCCTTAGAAGCATATTTGATGGCAGCAAAAGATTTGGAATCTATTCAGCTACAACTTGCTGACCCTGACGCAGGTTTGTCCACAATGATGGAGCAACTTTCAGTGTTGTACTCCAATTTGGGCGAGACTGAGGAAGTTATTGGAAATCCTAGAGTGGGACAAGTTTGCTGTGCCCAGTTTTCAGAGGATCACGACTGGTACAGAGCTGTTGTTACTTGTGTTTCTGAAGCTGGAGTTGAAGTGAAGTTTGTCGATTATGGCAACATTGATGTGGCTCTGATGGTCAAGCAACTCCGAGAAGAGTTTTTCTCCCTGCCTGTTCAGTGTGTTGATTGCAGTCTTCATGGTGTTGTGTCAATGTCTGAGAAAAATGAAGAAATTGCAGCAAAATTGACTGAACTGTGTGAATCTAAAGAACTGAAAGCTGAAATCACCAATGTTTCAGGTGACTCTGTGGTAGTTAATTTATTTTATGAATCTGGAGAAATGCAAGAGTCTGTTGCTGATGTTCTTGTGAAACTAGGACTTGCACATCTTCAACCCAGAGCACAAGAACAACGAAGAATTTCAATCTCTGAAGAAGGGAAAATGGTGTATAATTACCCTGAGTCTGGAGATGACTTTGTTCATGATGTAAGCTTGATATCAACTAGTTCACCAAGTGAGTTTTGGTGTCAGTTAGTGGATTCCATGTCAGAGCTGAAGACACTATCAGACAAGATTGAACTTTTTTACCAGTCTTTGGGTGAAAATGACTTGAGGTTTTTGTGCCTGCAAGTGGGAGACACATGCTGTGCACAGTTTACTGATGACAACAAGTGGTATAGATCGCAGGTAAACAAGGTCTGTTCTGGTGGCCAAGTCTGTGTACGTTCGGTAGATTATGCCAAACAAGAAACTCTGACTCTGGACAGGATCAAGAAACTCGACCCAGGGTTTGCAGTTCTTCCTGTGCAAGCCTTATGCTGCAGTCTTGCCGGCATTGAACCCCCTCACGAGTACTATGAAGAAGACTGGAGCAGTGATGCAGTGGGAAGGTTTCAAGAACTTTGCCATGGGAAAGATGTTAAAATAAAGATCAAAGAAACAGTTGGTGATGTCATTCTTGTTGATTTACTAGATTCTACTGGTTTGTCCATAGCTAATCAGCTGTTATCGGAAGGACTGGCAGTCGAGACAAAATCTCCTTTGACAGAGTCACCTGTGAAGGACGTGCTGCACAAACAAGACTGTTTATCAAATGAACAAGAAGGAGAAGGTGATAAGGACAGTTCAGAAGAGAATATCTTTCAGGAAGCTTTATCAGGTATCGAAGGAGTGGAAGTGTTGAAGGTGGATGAAGGAAAGACAGAGATTGAAGAAGCAAAGGGTGAAGAAGATGAAGATGATGATGATGAAGAATTTCTCGATAGTAATGATCAGGTCATTGAAGACGTAACTGGAGTATCAGAAGGCCACGAGTGTGATAAAGGACTGTCACAAGCAACTGAAGAACAGGAACAAGCCGTGAACAATGAAGAAAAGAAGCAAGATGGTAAGAACAAACTTCAAGCAACAGAAGAACAAGAAGAGCCAACTATGAAAGAGGGGGAAAATAACAAAGAAGAAGACAAGAATAGACTGCAGGTGACAGATAAACATGAAATGCACACTGTGGAGGGTGATTTAAAGAAGGAAGAAGGTGAGGATGAACTTCAAGTAGCTAACATACTAGAAGAGGTGGATGTGGAAAGTGATGAAGATAAACAGGAAGAAAAAATTGATCTTCAAGCAACTGAAGAACTAGAAGAACAAGCTGTGGAAGAAAATGATAAGAAACCAGAAAGCAACAGGAGACCCCAGACAACTGAAGAACTAGAAGTGCAAACATTCGAAAGTGATCAGAACAAACAAGGTGCAAATGAACTCCAAGCAGCTGAAGAACAAGGAGAGCAAGCTGTGAAAGAAGATGAGATCAAACAAGAAGGTGAGAGTGGACTTGACCAGACGGCAGAGGAAGTTCAAGGGGAAGAAATATCAGAAGAGCTATCAAGTCCTGTGTCACAGACTGGTGAAACATCAGATTTATCCAAGGACGTTGAATGTCTAGCAGACGAAAAAGTGAACAATACGGAAACTTCAGAAGCTGTCGGAGATGCCGAGAAATCAGGGAAAGAAGTACATGAAGGACCAAAGATGGAGGAAGTGTCTGAAGAGAAGGAACAAAGAATTGATGAGCAGGAGAAGGAATTTGTTGAACCTGAGGATGTTGTGACAGAAGCGTTCTCAGAAGAGGACTTGTCAGGTACACACCTGGGAGTAAAACAATAACTGGCTTGATGTTTTTGGGTGTTGTTTTGGACAGACCATCCACATCAAAATACTTAACCTGTACTGTGAAAAGCTCTATTAAGCCCCCGTTCCTCCATGTCCTCTGTTTCATAAGACCTTCTCCCTAGGGGGGTACTCTGTAAATCTTTGGGTGGGGGTGTGCCACTGGGACCCTGAAACCCTTACTCTATACAAGATCCTGATCAGTTTGATTTTGCAAGTCTATTTTAGACTAGGCACCAAAACCCCTACCCTATTCCAGACTAGCTATGCAGAAACTTCATCGCTATGGTAGTCCAACATGTGCTAGGTAAACAAATATCAAACAAAAGCTCTTCCGAGTTTCAATTTTTATTACAGAACACAGGGTAAAGAACCCTGTTCTTGACTTTGTAAATTATACCCTATTCTAGACCAAAACTGGCTGATTTCTATACCCTATCACAGACTAAACTGCCTGAAAGCCATGCCCTTCACAGTGGCACATACCCATATAGCTTATACATGGGAGTACCCCCCTGGCCTCCCCCCTCCATAGCAACACCCACCCCTTCTCTCTGTCTTTTTGGCTCCCTTCCTAAGATGGCAAGGCACGTTACTTTATAATCAGGAAATCAACAATTGTCATTGTTTGGGTAACTCTATGTTTTTGAGTTACCTGTTGACCACACAGTGCTGGAAATAATTTTTCTTCTTTAACAGGACATGTGTCCTTTCAAATTGTCATTTTGGTCAGACATCTTATCAATTTGACCGGACATTAAATTGCAGAATTGATTAGCATAATTAATTAGCATAATGAAATTCATTTGAAGCATCAAGATTTTCAATATGAACCGTTCAAAACTGCATTTAAATTTGATTTATCATTTATTTATGATCAACTAGATGACTTTATCTACTAGATTATATCGTTATATGTTATTCAAGCAAACCTAGTCAGTTTATATTGACTGCTACAAAAGCAGGAGCCCATCACTAGGAGTGTGGAATTACCCCAATGGTTTTCACAGATCAGTCTATTTTGAGTTTGAATTTACTGCAAATTCAGACCCTGCAGAAACCTCAGTGACCAATCACAAGCACGGACTTAATTTTTAACTGATGTCATCATTTCGCCAGAAGATTCGGTCAACATGTCCACCTGAGGCCACCATTTGCATGCTCAGATAGACCGGAACTGACCCATTTCATGGAAAAAGACACCTAAAAATAGACTGGCCTGTAAAAGTGCCATGACAGGCTTAGTATGGGAGTTGCAGGCTCCTAGTGGTGGGCTCCTGACCAAAGTTGACTCTAGGGTACATACATTAAGTGATAACAGCATATAGCAATGCACGTAATGCATTATGGGGTGATTTCGGAAGAGTCCTTTATTTGGCAAGTACAGGAAAGATGAACATTCCCGCTTTATGAGTTACCTATATATCAAATATGGCTCAAACTGTCAGTGTCAAGGGCTCGAAATTAAAAAATTCTTGAGTTGCCATTTGGCGAGTAAGTGATAAAAATCAAGTAGAAATTTTATTCAGAAAAGAACTCAATTCATAACATCTGTAAAGAAAAAATGTCCAAGAATTTTTTGGCTGTTGTATATTAACGTATTTATGAAGGATCCATGCATTACAAGAGACACAATCGTAAGGCATGTGATGTACTCAATGCTCAAGGGTTTGCAATGCATTATAGGGTGATTTCAAACACAGTCAGTGATTTCCAAGTTTTCCTGTTTAGAGTCCTTCACAGCAAAGCCTTCCTTTTCTTATGTTGAATGTTATAGAAGCAAAGATCTTTCACTATGTATTTCTGGAAGGATGTAATTTCTGAGAAAATAACTGTTATTGATCGTTAACACAGCGAAACATAGTCGCCATTATCGTAGCCTGTGAATGCAGATGTATTTTCGGATGTTGACTAAACCAGAACTTTTGGTGGCCAAAGATGAAATATTAGCTGCATTGGTGACCGTAGTGGTCACAACTTCGAGCTCTTTAACAATGTATCTAACCAAATTTTGTGGATAGACTAACTTCAAGGCAAGAAGTCAAAAGTGTTGGTGAAATGTTCGGACATCATGTCGATCATAATGTGAAATTGGCCGGACATGTTCAAAATTTGGTCGGACAATGTCTGCTGACCAACTGTTATTTATAGTACTGCCACATTGATTTTTTATTGTTCCTTTTTTGTGAATATGTGTTAATGAACAAGTGAAGAGAAGCATTACACAGCATCCTGTGCAGTTGTCATATGGTTAACAATGTATCTAACCAAATTTTGTGGATGGACAATAACTTCAAGACAAGAAGTCAAAAGTGTTGGTGAAATGTTTGGACATCATGTCCAATCATAATGTGAAATTGGCCGGACATATTCAAAATTTGGTCGGACAATGTTCGGTGACCAACTGTTATTTCCAGCACTGCCACATTTCCTTTTTATTGTTCCTTTTTGGTGAATATGTGTTAATGGACAAGTGGAGAAAAACATTAAACAGCATCCTGTGCAGTTGTCATATGGTTTGGCTGATTTTTGATTGATGTTAGCCTACCAGATGTCTCTAAAAAGCTAACCTTATTATTCATCACCTTTGCAAGTTGAAAACAAATGAACCCCTTCTTTTGTTTAACAGAGCTTTCATTGTATGCAAGACTTGTCAATAGTAAACAATGATTATTTTAATGGGAAGTTATTTTGGTTGGGTCTAATACAATTTCATATCCGTTTATCCATGCAACAATGTAAAAGTGCACCTTTTCAGGGCTCGAAAAAATGCTCTTCGGTCATCCAGGACAAGTAGATTGTCCTACAGGGCAAGTAACTTTTCGTTCTCACTTACCCAATGGGCAAGGGCCTGGGCAAGTCGTCTGCCAACTAAGTAAAAAAGAAAACTAGGACTTGCCCAGGGCAAGCAAAATTTGAGAGCTAATTGTCTAAAGGGCATGCTGGATTTCAATTTTTTTTTTTAGCCCTGACTTTTGTCAACCAGGCAAATTAAAGAGAAGTTATATTTTAAGCTTGTTGACTTCAAGAGTTGTGTAACAGTATTAATACTGTACCTATCTTAATTTGTGCTTTTACTTAAACAGCAATCACAGGCAGTGCTGGTGAATCTGTAGCAGCGACATTAGATGTCGAAAAGAGCGAGGAAGAACGGGTAAGTTCCGCAAGTCCACCGTACAGTCCACCTTCCAGCCCTGCTGTGTTCATACAACCAGGGGGAGAAGTCCAGTTTACAAAGGATCAGTCACCTGGCAAGGAAACGCAGTAAAATCGATTTAGGATTGTTGAATTGATTTCAGTCCCCTTAACTCCTATACTGCCTAAACCTAGAAAGATAGGGAGACAGTGAACAGATTTTAGATCAGTTTTGTTTTGGATAACAATTTGAAGAAAATTTCAAATTAGTTGAAAAGAACCAAGCATTACACAGCAAACAGGGTTGTAATGTAGGCTTTTTGCATGATTATTCAAATACATATAGTATTTGCCATTTTGCTCCATTATACATTGTTTAGGTTAGAATGATTGATTAATGTCTTAAAGTTACCGGGTATGTGTCTGAATTTCTGTGGCTGTTGCCACATGCACAGACTAGTAGCTAACAAATCTAGAGGAGCTAGTGTAAAATAGTTTTTTTCCTTGTTTTTTTAAGGTTTTCTGTAGCACTAAATTACAAAACCATTGCCTGCAGCTGCAAAAAAAATGTGATTTTAAGAGAATGTGTGCAACCCAAATTCATAGTGCCAGTCACTGCAGACTCTCAGTGTACTAGATTGATTAAAATTATTGAGAGTGAAGGTTATGAAGTTTTACAAACTCTCATAACTTTGGTGATTGCTAAATAATTCTTCAATTTCCTCAGTCAGTCAGCCATCAGTCTGGTGTACTGTTGGTGTGTTGATTAATTTTGACCACCCCTTAGGATCTTGGAGCAAAGTTTTGTAGTTAACTTTTTCGTGCCAGGAGTGTAAATTGTGAATCAACATGCACAAGTCAGTGTTATGATTCTCATAGAATTAATCAGTTAACTTGTATGTAACTGAAAACTAACAGTGTTCATGCTGTTTAATATTTGAATCAGTTTTTGTTTATACTTAAACTATATTAAGCAACTTAATGTAACAGGCAACATCTAGCCTTGATAGAACAAAAACAGAAATAACATTAATTTTAAGAATAGAAATTATTTACTTTTCTAGTAATATCTGATTGCACAAGAAGAAAACATCAATTTAGGAACATGAGAATATGTAGTGATTGTTTTGCCCATAAATGTGCTTAACAGCATTAATGTGTTAATAAAACATTTGATTATTAATGCTCAACTAATTGTTATTTGTTTTTCTAATGGGATGATTTCCAGTGAAAGTAACACCCCTTCTTGGACTTCAAGTCCCTTTTTAATGAATGGGAACAGTTTTGAAAACATGACCTAAATTGTGTTTGTTTTAGTTCTTGATTTGAAAGGAAACTTTTAGTTTTCACTTAATATTTAAGTTTCCTGAAAAGCTAGGCAAACCTCTGGTGTGCTGATAATTTGGAAGGGGTCATTCAAACAAATGGCATGTCATTTTTTTCCCTTTTTCTGAAATGACAGGACACCTTTGAGTGACTTTGAATGAGTTGCTTTTCTGTCCCAACACTACTATTTTGAAAAGGGAAACCCCACTCATGGATCTTGAGCAATAGTGGTTTGAACCAAGTATTCCTGTTGTATGAAAAAATTTCTGGGTGTGCTCTCTGAACATTAAGTATACTTCATATCTCTGAAAAGATGTGAGTTTTCTTTTTCTGAGGGCTCAAAATTTCTTTAGAGTAAAATTAATCACTTTCATGAAGAAGATGAAGTAATGTCAGCCAACTGTTGTGGAATTTAAAGACTTTAAAATTTAAACTCAGCAGATTCAGGGTGAGCAATTTAATGCCTGAGTTTTTGCATTTATTGTGTAACGGTTGACGAGAACTATTGCAATAAATAAAACAGTATCCAGTCGAGAGGCACAGTGATAGTCATAATGAAGCATTTTTTTTTTTTGAGTTGCGTCGAGGTTACATTGCAGAGCTGGATGAGAGAAGGATATTTTGTCGAAGCAAAGTATTATGGAAGGTAATATCAATTTCTGATGTCCAACTTGATGGGTCGTTTCCTCACTGTGACCCATAAAAAAACAAAACCACAACAACAAACAGTTAGGTGAAATTGTCGCACTGGAAAATGTCAGACCTTGCGGAACTGGGATGACCATTGTGTTGTCACATGGAAATGTGGGCTGTAAGCACTCTTATTTCCCTTGAAAATCCTGCATTTGGACAAACAATGAAGGATAAAATCATTGAAGGGGATGATATGGTACCAATGATTTTTTTTGAGTTAATGTGTAGATTTTCTTGAATACTGATGAGGTGCTTTTTCCTAGACAAGTGTTGCTATTCCTGCCGAGTAATGTTTGACATTCTGCCTAGCAACTCAGTCAACCATTAAAATGGATGCATTGATTGAGATCTTAAAAGCTCATCCTAAATCTGCACCATCAGACAACAGTGTAATCCATAGCTCCACAGCTTGCTAAGATGTTATAGCCCTGGGTATTTATATAAATTTCATGTTGTAGTCAGTGAATCAAGGGAAAAACTGCTGGTCCCTTTTCAAATCATTTTTCTCTGATTGTAGCTGCTAAAGGCTAATGTAGAACCCGATCACTATGCTTCTTACTAAAAAGCAGTTTAACTGTCAGTTTTAAAATGGAAGAAAAGGAAAGTGTTGAAAACCTTGTGATTCTGAAAATTGAAGTTGTCTCATATCCTGGATTCATTGATTTCTGCTTTAAAATTATTACCTGTGCAGGATTTTATATATTGTGGTTAATATTATATATTGTACACTATGCTAATTAGCTGAACACACTTCTAATTCTCAATTTTCTGTTGGATTTTGATTGTTTCCATGGCATTGATTTATCTCCTGTGTCGAGTGTGGTAGTATGAGTACTGGGTATAATACAGAATAGGTAACAGTTTCAACACGGCCTCCACACTGTCAACCACAGCCTCAATATTATGTATAGAAATATTATTACAAAAAAAAAAATATTGGTTGAGGGTTTTGATGATACCAAGAATAATCATGAACAAAGTGACTGATATTAGCTAAAGCTGAGGCAGATAACACTGATAGTTAAAAAAATCTTTTTAATTTTGTAGTTGGAAATAGGCTATGTTTGATATATCAATATTCTAACATGGCCCTGAGGCTCTCAGGTCTAAAATTGCAAATTTTCTAAGTTTCTTTTGTCCCTCAATTCCCAAACGATACTTGGATACAAAGGAAACAACACCAAATATAGGCATTTGTCCTGAAAGCCTCTGAGCCATGGTGGAATATTGATATAATTATTGAGCATGGCCTATGGGCTTAAAGCAGAAGAACCATTATAACTATGGGACCTTGCCCAACAGGTGACAGTTATCCAGAATTGTGCTACAGCTCACAACATAGCAATTTGGACCTCATGTTTAATTTATCGATTGATTCATTAATTCAGTGTTTATTATTGCTGATTAATTCTTTGGATCACAATGAATCTCAAGTTAATGACGAAATCATGAAATTAATGAACATGATTGTTTTGATCTAAGGCAAGAGTATTTCTGCTCACATTCTCAGATTTTGTGTGAACTTGTAATTTTCTCTTTTCTATACCTTTTGCTTGAAATATTTTGGTTTATTTGGTTTAGGTTTGTGCAGTCTCTTCAATTTTATTACCACAAATTTTATGCATTATTTAATTGGTGTTTGTCCTGTGATAATGTACCAAGATAGTTTATTTTCTGTAGACTGTTCACAGCCCTCTATTTTCTCTTATTTTTATTCCATTGTCGAACACACGGATATAATCGCAAGAGAACTGGACACCAGCACAAAACACCCCCCTCCCCGCTTTTTCTTTTGGGTGTGTAAATAGAGAGACTGTGAACAGTCTAATTTTCTGGACTCTACCAGACTTCCTCTCTTCTTTTGACATTTCCCAGCTGTTGGCGCCATTGTTAATAACATTCCCGCCATTAAGATCTGTTCATTATTTTTATTCTGTTGTTACGTTTGCTTTTCTTGCAGTTCAAAGAATCCAATGTTGAAGAGGTTGTGCAACAAACTTTGATGGTAGAAGAATCTGCTAAGGTGTTCTTAGAAGAACTTCTAAGTGATGTTTGTGGATCTATAGATAAGCAGACATCAGAATACATGGAAAGGGCAAAAGAATGTGATGATGAAGGTAAAAGTCTAAAATTTGAAAGTGCAAAATATTAGAGGGAAATGTAGCAATGTCCCTTCATTACCATGGAATCTTGTACAGACATGTTACACTGTACTTGTGGACACTTTTAGACTGCAAGCAGTCTCGCTTTTGCTCAAAAATCTGTGAGGAAGAATGCAAAGAAGAACGTAACACATTGTTTTGCATTCTTCTTCAGGGATGTTCAAGCAAAAGAGAGACTGCTCTCAGTCTAGGATACTTGGAACCAGATTTAGTGTCCAATTAGGAGAGATGTTTGCATATGAGAGGTTATAAAATGTAACACTTGTATCTGGAAGGGACCACAACTAAGTGTCAGCCTGCATTTTGTGTGCCTTGTGAAGGTGTCATTTACTCTGGAACCAAATTTTCTGAACTGACAACCAGATAAAATTATGGCAATCTGTAACAGAAATTAAACTTTTGAAATATTCCAGGGCTGATATTACTTAATTTCAATTTTTGTTCATGGCTGTGTGTAAATTCATTGATATCTTCTATTGAATACACACATCAGTCTTAATTGCCTTGACAAATTATAGCATGATTGCTGAATTACAATCCCTCCATTCAATAAAAAAGGAAAAAAAAAGTAATATATGCTAAGGTCATAGCTTGCTAGTACAGGCATCAAACTGTGAAACTATCCCACTTAAATCTTGGCAAGATTGGTTATATTAGTCCTGTTTACTGTCTGTCAAATTAGTGTAACTGAATTGTAGATTTTTGTTCATCATAATTCAAGACATATCAAAAAGTCCCATTGCTGCAGAACAACAAGAAGACATTGCAAATTCTAATGCAGCTTGCTGTGATGATGGAGACGACAATGTGTTGTCTGATGAGGCATTGGATAAGCTTGATAAAGAGCTTGAAGCAGAAAGTTTAGATGAAAAGGAACTGTGCTTTAACAGATCTGGGAATGTGCTGAATGGAAGTAGTGAAGAGGAAATACATGAAGTGGTAAGTTTTTTGTATTGAATTATGCATGATCCAAGGTGAATACTTTGTAATTTAATACAACACACATGTGATGTTAGGCATGAGCTTTGTGGAGATCAATGAACTTGAACTGACCAATCATACATTACTTGGACAATTTTAATTTTGGACAAAAAAATGTCCATAAATAATACCTTCTGAAATTTTGAGCATTGGAAATTCTAAGCCTCTGAAATATTTACAGTACAGTACAAAAGTTCTGAGAAGCATCAAAGCTTTTAGTTTCCTTTATGAGGCAAACTCTAGTTGAGACACTGCTTGAGATATGTAACAGCTTGATAGAATTTGTGTTATTTTCCCATCCGTGTATCTCATAAAATAATTTACTTTTACTTAGCAATGTTCTCTCACAGTGTCCAAAATTTTTGTCTGAAATGAGATAAAAAGCATCTGAAGTTTTAACGTCCAAACTTTTTTGCAAGTAATGTGCACATAATTTCTTGGGCATTTAGTAAAAATAATAGCTTTTAAAATGATCTTTCAACAGGTGGAAAATGGACGACAGGACTAAACTGGTATCAGTGGCTGCTTAGATAGCAAGATATCAGTGACAAATGGCCACAGTGAAGTAGGAAAGGACTTAACTATTGAATAGAGCCTAGATACATATTGAATAGATACACCAGTTTGAAATAGTTTTCACTCATGCCAACCTGGTGGGTTATGCTTGTTGGAATCCTTGTTCAAGCATATAAAGGGTATGGTAAATTTTTTATTAGTAGACAGTAGGAGTTCCCTGTTTCCTATATGCAAGGAAGTGTTTTGCAAGTTAGCTATTGAAATGCTACCTTTTATAGGTCCGATATATTTTTGGTTGTAACTTATCATTTCATGGCAAAGAAATGTAATTTTTGGGTCATAACCATTTTGAGTCACAATACTACATTGCTGTTATAACAAAAAGTTTCACAGCATATTTTGTGGAATACGTTTGTTTCCAAACATTTTTCAGCCTGTTAATCATCAGCTAATAAGTTATTCAGTGGCATGAGAAGACTGAACTAAAAAAAATTGCCTCAAACAACAGTAGCAGCAACAACAGTGTCTGAAGCTATCTTCATGTAGTATGTAAGGGCTGGCTCAGAGCGATTGTTATGACATTTTGTCAGGTGTGGAGTATACAACCTTGCTGTACATAGTGAATTTAAAATCAAGAGGTTTGGTTTAGTTTTCAAGCAAGGGTGTTAAAAGAAGAATTGCGGAATTATCCTACCATGAACAGAAGGAAGATAAGACATTCTTTTTGTTGTAAAAGACTTGTGCTAAAATAGTTTACAGCATAGACAAGCATAGGTACCAGCATGCAAGAGAGATCTTAGATGCAGCTAAAAAAAGTAATTGACAAGTATAGTGTCTTTATATGCTATTGTTATTTGACAATTGAACATTAATACCAAATTGTGTTGTTCCAAGAAATATCCATACCTCCCCCATGGAAGCTAAAGGAGGGTATAGAACTTTATATTCCTCTTTCTACTAAAAATTTGGTTACATTGTGACACCTCTCACCCCCTCAGATTTCTAAAGACCTTCTAGGGGTTGGGTATGGATATTTTGTGGAACTGCACTTTTTTTGCTTAATCTTAGTTATCGCTCTGAAAACTGACGTCTAGTGAGACGTTAGTTTACTTGCACTGAAACTACGTAAGAAAATTATGACCAGTAAGTTGGTCTTTGAAAAAGATTGTATTAGTTCCTAATGTCTATAAGGTAGCTGTTTGTAGTGTCTAGTATCTTGTATTCTGGACTGACCTTTGCCAATTGGCCTCAGCCAAGCTGTTTATCCACACTGAAATGTTGCTTCAGGTTTTCCTCACAAATCTGCTAAACATCAGGAGAAAAGTACCCTCCTCCACTTTGCAACTTGCAAAATCTGAGAGCTTTTTGACAACAGGTTATTCCAAGTTTTCCTAAATTTTGTGTAACTTTTTGCAACAACTTGGCTGCCGGGTTGTGAGAATCAAGTGACTGTCATTATGGCACTGAAATCATCATTTAATATTGAAAGTCTCTACAAATTTTTTCATGAACAGGGCAGATTATTGGTACAATATTAGGCAAGTTTAAAATGGACGTATAATTAGTTTTGTTTGGAACTACATTGTCACAGGAAATGTTTTGCAACATGAGATAGTCAGGTTTTTCAAAACTGCAAAAATTGTGAAGTTGTGACAATTAAATGCCCATGTGGGTCTAGTAAAATTAGTAAATTTGCATGAAATTACCCTCTTCTTTTCATTGCTTTTAGTGCAATCCTTGAAAGTGTAGCAGTGATGAGCAGCTCTCAAAGTTTAGTGTTTTCAGACTTGGACAGTCAGCCAACAGATAGTCCACTATTTCCAGCCAATGGAGACTGTTGTGCTGTCACTGAACTGCTTTCGAATTTACATACAAGTTAATAAAAGCAGAACCCGACAGATTGTTTTCTTTTTGTTTTAACTGGCTTCTCCCATTCTGGAATCTTAAAGATTAAATGTCTGGGAATGGAATTCTGAAAATTATTTAGTTGGTTTCAAAGCATGTAGCAAAATCACAACGATTTAGTGTTGTGAACGATCACCCTTGAAAAATTCCAAAATAAAAACGAAAAGTCGCAAAAACTTCCTGCAATGAGGTAGATTTTTTCCAGCAATTTGGTTACAACATTGCTTTTCTTCTTTCATTGATACAAATGTTGTGTCCTGAAAAGAGACAAATAGAAGGTTTTGGAATTGAGAAAATGTTTTTCTCCTTTGTTACCTGATTGAACCTTTCTAGAATTGAATTTTTGCTGATTGTAAGTGGCATTTTTCCAGAGTTAAAAGAGTGTTTTGTAGTTACAGACACACATTGGTTATACATGAAGCTGGTAGCATTGTCTATCAAAAGTAGATGTTAGTTTTGTACTCAAATTAGCATTTGTTACTGTTAAAGAGAGAAATTATATTTTGAAATTGTAGAAAATAATTACTACAGTCTTCTGAAGCATCAGTTTGATTCCAAAACTTTGATTAAAGAGAAAATAGTTGCAGTTCGTACTTATTTGTCTTTAAGTTGTTGTCATTATCTTTCATTACTGAGTTTGGCCAATAGTCATAGTGCATTCTCATACCATACATTCTTCACTTCATCTCTCTCTTCATATCTAACTGAGATATCTGGATGTAAAGGCTATACTAGGCAATTAGTTTATTGCAGCAAGTCTCAGTATTTTGCGGCGTTGTTGCAAGATAAGTTGCATGAGAGTTTGTTAAAGGTAGCACCCCTGAAATGCAAAAAGTAGATCTTGATTTCAGGCAGAAGCACTCACTGCAACAAAATGTCATGAGACTTGCTTATCTCAGGGGTCTTGTACTGAGCATTTTTTGTGTAACTTGTGTTGCAACGAAATTGTAAGGTAAGTTGCCAAAACATTGCCTAGTTTAATTAACAGTACCTTAAAAAAGGTCAACTCTGCATACGAGCCAAGTGGCCCTTCAGGCTGGAGTGCATCCTGGTTTCTGTAACATGAAGTGACTAGGAGTATTTCTACTCCCCCATGGATGGGATGCTAGTCCATTGCAGGGTTACCCCCAGCATTAATTAGCCAGTACACATTCATACACCTTGGTGGAGAGAGGCACTGTGGGAGTTAAGTGTCTTGCCCAAGAACACAACACAATGTCTCCTGCCAGGGTTTGAACGAGGACTGCTCGATCTGGAGTTGAGTCTGGAGTCGAGTGCACTAACCGTGAGGCCACTGACCATGAGGCCACCATGGCTCCACTTTCATTAGCTTTAATTTTCGGAGATTTGGCAATCACAAACACAACAATCTGAATCTTACCCATTCAAGACTTTATTACAGTACTTTGCCCTTAACTTGTACTTTGCAAAACAGTGGTAACAAAAGCTTAGTGTTCCAGACTGCACAAGCAATTCTTTGTGTGCTATGTCCCCAGTAACATGAATTTCTGTTACCTCTAGGTATATGTAATCAACTAATTCCAACTCGTAATATTGATTATACCACCATTACTTATCACTTACTTACAGTTATTAACAGGGAATTATTGAGTATGCAGGTGCTGTGCTGTCTACAGCTGGACAGCCAGATCCCATATTTTCATGCATCTGTGCCAAAGAGCATTAAATGAAACCAATAAAATCATTTGTTATCAAGACACTTTTCAGTTGATCTATCTGGTTAATGAGTCGCTCATTCTTGCTCACTCTCATTGTCTTTGGGTGATGGTTGGTGAAGAGCAAATTTTAGTGTGGTTGTTGACATTAACAATCTGTTTGCTCTCCCACACAACGTAGCTTTGGCCGCTATGAAGGAATTGTCTCAAAGGGTGTCATGACGTGTTTTGGTTTGAACAGAGGTTGACTATTTCTAAGTCAATTTTTATTGATACCACATGCAAACAAATAGATCAAAACTGAAGAGTAGTTAACCCTCTCACTCCCAAGAGTGCCATGTGGCGCAAAATACCATTACATGCTCAATATTTTGTCAGTTATCAAATTTGGACCACAAAAAGGTCTTGGACAGATTTGTCATTTGAAAGCATAAAATCATACCCCCCCCCCTAAATGAGACTTGATTAACCACCCCTACAAATTGTGCAACTTTTTCCTCCTAGACTTTTAAGGTCAAGTTAATATCTGGCAATAACCCACACATTAAGAGCTGCATATTAAGCTATAGTTTAGGGTTATACTTCAACTATACAAGGAGTGAAATATTTTTTAACGTTTTTTGTTTTGAATGCTTTTCAATTCAAACTGAGGCCTCCTCTATGGCTGTTAGTATGATTTATGGTATCCCACAAATAATATCTTTCAAACAGTATACTATTTGTGGTTCTTGGGTCTATGGTTAAATTTTTACAAAATATGTGGTTTTCCCCACAGGGGTGAAAGGGTTGAACAAAACTACGGTAACTTTGGGACACTGAATTGGCGGCACTTCAAATACTGTAAATCCTCGAATTAGAGCCTGGGGCGCTTATTTCAAATTTAGGGGAAGACAGGGGAGCACTTATTCGAGGGAGCGGGGTGGCGCTTATTTAATTTTTCCCAAATCGTGGCCTGACGTCATTTTTTTTAATACATCATCTGCGCATAACAACAGTGGCTGTTTATTGATATACAAAGCTGATCCTAAAGTTTAAATCGTGGCACCATAAGTACTTAGCTCAACGTGTTTACAAACTGAAACAATGTACAAACAAATATAATACTACATGACAAAAACTATACATCCTTTGTTGTCTCATTACTTGTCCACAAAATGGGGGGGGAGGGAAGGGGGCGCTTATTTTAATTATTGGCCGATAGGAGGGGCACTTATTCGAAGGGGGCATTTATTCAAGGGGGGAGGGGGCGCTAATTCGAGGTTTTACAGTATTGGTATTTGAAGGTTTGTCTTCTAATACACAAGGAATTGTGTATTGTGAACTGCATAGCTGTTGATGAGATTAGCACACTGACAATAGAAGAGAAAATCTGAAAATGTGACTGATGGGCTAGCATTTACATTTCTGAAGTGTTTGGAAGAAGGCATAGTGTTTTGCACCAGCCATTTGAATCTTTAAACTTTACAAGTTTAACACATTTCTGCTCACAAATACACAGATACAAAACATGGTTTTCCATGTTTTACTTGGATTCAGCCAATGTGCAATGTCTAATCTGTATAATTGTAATTCTGGGAACACTCCCATTGTTGATACAAACTGAGCTAGATTAAAGTATGTGACAGTTAGAATCATCTATTTCTCTGACACTGATGAACCCCACTTGTGTCCCATACTGTTCTCCATCCCGTCGATATGAGAAGAACCTTTGCTGTGGGTCACACTTGGTACATTGGGTTGGGTGTCGAGATTTTGATGTTTCATCCATCTCACTGAAAGGAATAACATTGATTGATAAAATATCTGGATTGGCTCAATGTGCTGTTAACCCAGTCTTTCATTCTCAGGGTGGCAGCAACTGAAACTGAACTCTGCCACAGGATATTGTTTTGACAAGGATTAAGTAACTGGGGGACTTAAGGGCTGATTCTTGCACAGTTCCTTTGCATTTCTTCTAAAAGATTAAAGAATACCCCCAACCCCCATTACCTTGTTCCATCATCGATGCTCTTTGGAATCACCCCTTTCTTCTCAAGTTGCAGCCTGATTGAAAGGCGTAGATCTATAAATGGGCGGGGCTTCCCTTCTCTCTGCACCACAACACTGTCACCAAAAGCTGTAGTAAACTTTTCAGCCACATCTTCACCAACCTCAAAACAGCATGGGCCAATTGACGGTCCAATGGTAACTACAATATTTTTTACTTTACACTCAAATCTTGTTAGCATCACATCAATGACAGCAGCATCAATCATGTCCAGTGTCCCACGCCAACCCGAATGAGCAGCACCACAAACCTGAAAACAACAACAAAACAGTGGAAATGATCTGCTTCCTATGAGTAAAGAGCCACTCACATGTCAAGCGTGTATTATGCCCAATGACCTCTACTGGTGTCATCTTGGTGGCCAATTGGATGCCAATTACCAGTCAATTTAGTAGATAGATAGATACAATGCTTTTAAATAGAAAACTCCCAAGGAAACATTAATGAATACGTGGGAAAAGCAGTTAAAAAACTGGATGTTCTTGGTTGACAGATTCTTCGAGTGGCCATTTAGCGTGTAAAAGCTTCATGTAGTATGCAAGCAATTAATATAGGCAAGTCTACAGTTAGGGAAATAATAGTCCCACACCAGTCTAAGCCCACGCTGTAGGATCTTATCCCAGTTCCTGTATTATGAAGACCAGGACTATTGCCCCACCCCCCTAGAAGGGATGCCTGTCTATCATTTATTGCTGGTACCCACTGAGACGTCTGGTTGGAGCGAGCTGATACTGTGATATGTTAAGTGTCCTGCCCAAGAACACAATACAGTAACTGGTCAGTGTTCTAACCCATGTACCTTGACTGGGCCATTTTGCCACCATACTGGCATGACGCAACAACATTTTTACCTCAGATGAAATCTCCTGGTTACATGCCATGTGTTTTCTTGGGCATCTAGATTTACAAGTTAGTCAACTCCACTTTTCCAATAAATTAGGTATGAGATGTTTTTGAACCATGGAAGACAACTGGACAGGAAGCTGATGTTCTTATTTTTGGTGCGCTTCCACACCTCCGAATGATTTTGGACAGCTCTCATTTTAGCACCTGGGGAACTGGATAGTCATAAGTATTATGTCTACGCACCAAAGAAGAAAATGTTCAAATTTATGTGTGTGATTTGAAAGTGCCCGTGCTTAAGCTTCTTTTTACCTTTTTCACTGGATCACAGAACAAGACTGTTGCGCAGTCCGCACCTGGTGCTGCTATGGTCACCTGTCGTTTATCAGTAACTAAGGCATCATAACTGTCTGGTTGTGGATCACCCACCACCCACACATCAGCTCCGTGGACACACCTGGCCATTTGAAATTTTTCTGCCTCAAATCGAGCAGTGAGAGCTAATCTGCGGCGATTTTCCTGCACATTGATCTCCGGATCTCGTCGCTTGTCACTGTATTTCAAGTTAAGTGACGACAATGTTTTGTATGTTGAGACTCCTCCATGCCGTGTTGTGAAACCATGATTAAACAGGGTTGTTGGGACCAGTGTTGACTGCAAAATTTCCACCATCTTGCCATCAGGTAATGTGATTTTTGGCATGATTATTTTGATGTGCTCATCTATAAGTGGAAAATACTTTTCTTCTCTGTCTTCTCTGTACTTCCTTTCCTCATCATCCATATCGTGGGTGCATTCATAAAACTTCACATTGTAAACATCAGGTGAGTAAAGCTGAAAGTCAAGAGAAGTTAAAATTTTTTTATCAGCTTTTTTGGGAAACCTTGCTTTAATCATGTAGCCACCTTTTGGTAATAAACATTTTACTTGTACCTGATGTGACAATGAAGCATATCTACTGTTGATGAAAATGGTGGAAGAATTCTGAGTTGAGCTTTATAAAATCACTTTGTCAGAGCAAATGTGTTAGTCAAGACATCTTGTAAAATCTTTTGAAAAGAATAAGTAAATGCAAGAGACTCCACTAAGAAATTGTAAGGAAAACCACCCTACATCACCTCTTAAGTCTGCTTTGAAAGATGTGCTATCTACTCAATTGATCTCGATGCTCTGCTGAGTTCGAGGCACCTACATAAAAGGAAGCATTGTTGCAGAATTGTCACTTTCCCAATTTTTTCTCCTTGGTACTCAAATAGAAAAATCTTTCCTCAGGAGCAAAAGATTTCTAAAAAACATCAGAAATTATGTTTATCTTAAAAACAATTTTCTTCTGCAACAAAAATGATAATGTTTGTGTGTAGTAATGGAGAAATATTTAGGAAAACAAAGTTTCCTTATTTCTGTGGGCCTTAAGTTATTTAAGGCTATGAAGATTGTAGTCCTTGATCAAGCTGAAGGGAAATTTCAGTACAGCCTTATACCACACCTTCTCAAAAAATTTCTTTGCCCTCTCCATATGCAGCTCTGTTGTGACAACATGGACATTACTGGCCTCAAATTCATCTATAATGATGCGACTGTAATAGGCATTTTCTGCAGTGCTGCTTGCTTTTTCCTCCTTGATGATGTGTTCTGGGTCAATAAGGTTGTTATCAACTGCATATTTCTCCATAGCACTGGCTTCTGTCACAACCTGCTGAAGTTATTTCCAATATTACACATATCAATACTAATCTATGGGAGTGGTCGAGTCTAAATACCCCAGACACGTTAATAAAGGTTTTTGTTGTTGTTGTTGTTGTTGTTGTCATTTGGGCATGCTCTGACGTTTTCAAGATTTTCAGACTAGGTTATAAAAATTCTGAGGCAATCTTGTAGAAGACACCAAAAAATTTTACTTAGGAAAACACTCAGCTCAATCCAGAGTCTAGCATATTAACCATTAGGCAATAGCTGTTCCATCCACATCAAAATTTAAATTAAAAGCAAGGGAAGTGGGAAATTCTGCTTGCCTTCCCCCTCCCCTACTCAACCTCCTGCTTTAACAACTTTTTGAAAAGTGCCTGGAGAACAATAGACACCAAATAATAATTGATGGAATCACTATCACCAGATTTGGCAATATAGGATAATATGGACAGGGCAGTTGCTGTCTTATTGGTTTTTTGTTCAATTCACAAAATAAATTTAACAAATTGACGTCAATTTTTTATGCGTCTGTCCTCTTATTGATGATAAATTGTGTCATAACATTGTGAAATTGGCTGTGGAACCACAAGCCGCTGGCGAGTGGTTCCGCAGTAAACTTTGACAATGTTATGACAAAATTTATCGTCAATAAGAGGACAGACGCATAAAAAACTGACGTCAATTTATTTTTTACAATAACAAGCCCCAAAATGGTCAGATGCTGGCAATAAATGAGGGGAAAAGATGCCGTAAACCTGCTGTAAACAAAGATAAGTAAATTTTATTTAAAATGACGGGCACATTTTCAATAGCATTTCTCGCTAATTTTTGATTAGCTACTTAAAAAAGTCCATAAAATCTCATTAGTTAAAAAGTTGAGAGTTTGACAGCTGAAAGTTGAACTTGAAAGCTTTCATAAATTAAAATTTTATCCGTTTGTACTCTTATTGATGATAAAAATGAGCCAATCAGCACACAAGAAATTAGACAATTATTGTAAAGATGGGTTATTGAACAAGCATGAGGTCAAGATGGTTGGATATTGACCCATTTTTGCCCCAGAGGCTGCACTCCTTTTAATCAGCACCAAGAATCGCAACCTCAGGGCTGTTCCAACACGGGAAGTCTGTGATACTTCTAGGAGCAATATCAGTGAGACAGTCGCAATTCCTGGTGCTGACCAAAAGGAGCGCGGCCTCTGGGGATGAGAATGGATATTGGCCATGTTCTTTTTGTTCATGTTTATGGACTAAGATGGAGTTGAAGTCCATAAACATGCAAAAAAATGAATGAGGCCAATATCTGGCCATCTTGACCAAACAAGCTTGGCCAATAACTTAAGGATTTATTATATGGAATAAGAGCGCTACTAGTATTTTCTTGAGAGACCTGAGCAGGTAAGATATAGTGTCATCTTGTCTGCTTGGGTAGCCAATTACAGTGCAGGGTTTGGTTCATCTTGCCTGCTCACGGAGCAAGCCATATAATAAGAAGCTATACGGCACCACCATCAATGATACCAAAAAAGGAAGGAATGATTCGAAAAGTAATTGGTACATTTTGGACAGCTGTCAATTACCTGATCTGGTGCCTGATATCCAGTTACAATGACACGACAATCAATGTTCTGTTGTTTTAATGATGTGTACAGCTCAGCAGCCCGTTTGACTCTGGATTTCATCATTTCAGTTGGGGATCCATCTTCATTCGTGCGACAACCAAGAACAACAACTACATCGGTGGGATTATCAGCTTGTGCCATGTTCCCTGGAAATTTAACTGGAAAATGCAAATTAACATAAATTAAGTCAATTCCAAGGGGCTTTTGCACTTTATGTGAAGGTGCAGTGGCCTCGTGGTTAGTGTGCTCATCTCTCAATCAAGCTGTCTGAGTTTGAACCCTGGCCAGGGACATTGTGTTGTGTTCCTGGGTGAGACACTTCACTCTCACAGTGCTTCTCTCCACCCAGGTGCATAAATGGGTACTGGCTGATTTAATGCAGGGGGTGGGTGGGGGAAGTTACCCTGTGATGGACCAGCATCCCATTCAGGGGGGAGTAGAATACTCCTAGCTGCTTATTTCTACAGAAACCAGGATAAGCTCCAGCATGATGGGCCACTTAGCTCATATGCAGACTTAAAGTACCTTTACCTACCTTTGCACTCCATAATAACTTTGGTTTGTGAGACTATTGACAATTTATTATTTAGTTTGCCAGATGGAAAGCCTCTTTATGATTTATTTCACCCCTAGCAAAAACGTGCCAGTAGTCACCCACATTTACACACCTGGCTGGAGAGAGGCGCTGTTAGTAAAGGATGGTCATCTCCAACCATCCTCAACTTGTCCCTAGACGAACTACACTTCACTATTTATAGATGTGCAAGCTATTGCAAATGATATACAAATATAAGTGTCAATTTAAGGGGCTCATTAGCTGCTAATTACAATGATAATATATTCAATTAATACATGATAGCGTGATACCTGGAGGGATTCACACCCTTATAGATATCGCAAAGATTACCGAAGGGATCACGGAATTCAGGGTATTTATGATATTACCTGAATCATACACTCCTCAAACTGTGTGCACGGCGCTGGGATAGGTAATGTCAAGTGAAATGTCAACCACCAGGGACAAAGATTGCACTGTAAAGAAACGATCGAACAATACGATTAAGTTTTGTGTAAACACGACTGACACTGCGCGTCAAATTCCTTGAACGCTATCTTTCATGCGAACGCCAATTAACGGAGCTAGCAACTGTGAATGTTATGAGACCGCGGCATTCTCCTGCCCACACGGAACTGAAAATGATGAAGACTTGTCTTACCTGCTGTGAACTTTCTGCTTAAATAGAAACAGCTCAATCGTGCTAAATCCAAGAGCTAATGCTTGCGTTTTAAATCTGTTACGTTCTGGAGCGGAAGTGGTCGGGAGGGCAATTATAAGCCTGGGAACGGGTGGCTCACTCACGCACACCACGCCTCTGCTTAGAATTTTATAAACCGTTAGGAAATCCATGATTTAGGAAGATCAAGTCACTTAACCGCCTTAATTAGATCCCTTTTGACAATCCATTTTTATTCTCAATCATCTGTGTTGCACCTTTGAGAAAGTAGACAGCGTTATTTCCGTTCATGATCAGCTGGGCAAGATTGCGTGACTTAGAAGCCTTCTGTACTTTTGTGATCGTGACAGATTTGAGCATAAGAAAAAGAGACACGATAATTAGTTTTGAGCAAAATAATAGCAAAAAGACATATAGGGAAATAACGCGACTGTTACAAGACTTGTAATGGTAACATGAAAAGTAACAGTAACAAAAGACAATAGAGATCGTTGCAGTTTCACGATATGTGAGCAACTAAGAAACAAGTCCGAAGAAAAAATCAATCCCTGAACTGAGCTATCAAGCCAACCGAGAAATGGTCATGTCGTGCGTTCTTAATATACCCGTTAATTGTGAAGATATGAAAGAGAATATATGAAACACAGTCATGACATAGTCAACATTCCCCCGTGCATTTGACATGTGGGGTAGGATTTTTACGTCCGTGGTTAGTTATTTTTATTATTTATTTCCACATATTTGCTTTCCATCGATATGATAACTTTGAGGGAGGGTAGGGCTAAGAAGGGAGTTGAAAAAGTTGCCACAAGATCGGGTGTGTGGAAAGCAATGGGTAAGATCTAGAGTCAATGTGGGGGATATGGATGTCTGAGGGTTAACCCTTACAATTAATAAGAACCAACCACTGCCGAGACGGTGATATTTAGGCTGACCCGAGCACTATTAAGGCTAACCGGAACGATATTTTGCCATTTCTCGTTTTAGTTAGTGCAACAAGTTCAAGCGCTAAGGATTTCAACCGTTTCTCTCAAAGTGATACTCCAGCGTATGTGAGAGAGGTCGGTAAGTCGGCAGAGAAGGTTAACGCAAACGCCCTTTGGGCAAAAGAGCGTCTGCATAGGTTTGGCAATTGGCATACATATAATTCTCGATCTTTGGATAATGAAAATCAAGACTTTACATTGGCATAGCCATCATGAAATCAAAAGCCATGATTCCTATTCGTTCCCAGTTTCTTTCGGTCACGGAAATTTTACATGGGAACTCGCGGGAAATCCATTGCACCAAAAATTCTGGAAATTTCGAAACGGGGGTAAATGGTACTGAAATTTTCTGGAAAGGTGTCCGCAAAATCTGAAAATTGTCGAACTTCTGAAATACGAACCATTCAACCGAAAATTCCAGAAATTACGGGAGGAAAATCGAATGGAACGGAATTTCCTCTCTGTAAATGTTTAATTCATTGGGCTCAAACTCCTTGGGTCATAAATCATGCTATACCCTTCCAATATTTAGAATAGATATTTTAGTAGCTCGATCAGAAATTGGCTCGGTTTCACTTAATTTAGGCAAATATTGTAAACAAGGCTTTCCCTTTTCTTCCACTCCAAAGACCGGTTTTTACTCGAGTCCCACTCCCTCAAAAACAAAACAACCAAAACAACCCCAAGCCTGAACTGCTCAGGAAAAAAAGAAATGGGTAGGTGCACTAGACCCTGGATCAACTGGTCAACTGCAGTCCAAGTTTCAAGCCCTAGCCCTCATGTCATTGTGTTCTTGGACAATACTAATTACTCTCACAGCGCCTCTCCCCACCCAGGTGTAAGAAAGGCTACCAACAATTTAACAAATTTTGGTGGGGAATAACCCTACAATGGACTAGCATCCCACACCGGAGATCAGCGTTTAAAAAGTAGGTCAACCCTAATCCAGCAGTAGTATTACTACTATTCATGATTAGCTGAGCCCAGATTCAGAAAACTGCACTTCAAATAGCTTTAATGAGTTCTCTATTTATTTTGAAAACTATCCTGTAATTTGATTAGTCACTGAACAGAAAGTCTGCACCTAGCTAGGTAATTTAGTGCCACAAGAAGCAAAACCACATCACAAAACAAAAACATTTAACTTCAGTTTTTTTCAGCCAATTCCCATTGACTATATAATTCAAAATTTTAACAAAAATGCTCTGCTTTTTTACACAATCTATTTGCCTCCTGAGATTACGTGTTTCTGGTTGCAGCAGTTGTACAAGAAGGATTGCAGTCTCCTAGAGGTTGCTGGAAAACTACAGATGGCATTACTCTAACAAAGTATTTGAGAGACAGATAATTATTGTTTGGTGAGGGCAAAATTCCTGTCTGTGATGACTGACCAAGATTGCAATTTCAGCCACAAAAGTTGCTTAGCAACAGCAAGTCTCCTAACTGCACTATACTAGAGTGCAAATGTTTGTAGTGAGCATGAGAATCAGAAACTAGTTGATCAAAAACTGTCCTTATTTCCCCAAAAGGAGGCGGGGAAGTAGATCATACAAGCAATGCAAATGACATTGAAAGCAACAGAAATCTGAAAGTTCTATCTGAGTTGAATTAATAACCTATCTTGTTTTTTGTTGTCATGGCTACTGAGTCATTCATTTTGAAAACTGGACTGCACTTGCACCTTTCCATATGGGAACAGTTCATAATGGGACTCTAACTAAAGTAGAAACAACAATGCACTCCTATCCATAAATGGATGGCCCGAGTCCAGTAGGAAATGATAAAAGAGAAAGAACTGTTGCAGTTATGGCACAAACATGTGAAAATATGGGTCATCATATTTTTAAGGGGTTCATGCAACTCGACCAATATTCACACACAGACATATTGGTTGGTAACATTTAAGGTAAAACTCTTGATGGATATTTAAAGATTTTTAATATCTTCTGATATTTCCTCCTCATCAGGGTTGTCATCATCACCATCAACCTCGGCATTTTCTCTTTCTAATCTTTCCATCTGCTTGGCAAGTTCAGCTTCATCACTCTCTGTGACCACCTTGGGCTAGAAAAAATAAAGGAAAAAAAATGTGCTAAAGGTACAGCCAATATTCTATCGACTTGGAGGTTAGTTAGTGGTCTTTTTGCTGGGAGAGGGGATCACATATCATTGTGATGAGAGAGAAGAGCTAAGTCACTACCATGGGTGCTCCATTCAACTGAAAATTTTTGAAAATTTCAAAATGGTGACAAATGGACCTGAAACTTCCTGGGGAAATTTTCAGAAGGTAAAAAAATTATTAAATTTCCAAAGAGTAAACCATTCCAAAATGGTACCATTCGAAAATTGTGTGAGGAGAATCAAATGAAATGGAAATTCTTGGTAAGAAATTTTTGACAATTCGGGTATACCTCACGAGGTAGTCCTCTTTTCTGGAAATTCCAGAAAATGCTGCTCCATTCATCACTGGAAAGTGCCCCTAGTGTAGATAAGGGAAAGGTGGCACGCTAAATTGGTTTGATGAATTTCAGTTTCCATTTTGCACAATTTTTGCCCTGTTTTCAGCAGGAGAGAAAAATCTGAAAAGTAACTACTAACTAAACTTGTTGTCACTATTATAGTTGGGTATCATTTGCTTACTTCTAAACTGCACTGTAAGTTTACATCCAATTTAAATCTTGAAACTTGCCAAGAATATTAAAATTTGGACAAAGCTGCAGAATTTAAAATAATATTGCGAGTTGTTAGGAACTTACAGCAGCCTTTTCATTAAAATCTCCTTTATATTTCTTGATGGTGGTTCTAATGGCATCTACAGCATTTGTCAAACCCTTGAGTCCATCATCACGATCCAAGGTGGTTGTCGTTATCACATACAGTGGAGCAGCTATCAAATTTATCTGAAAAACAAAATCACATAAGATTCCACATTGTCAATATTGTCAGAAAGTATTTCTCATAATATCACTACATCAAGACAATATTCCTAGTTAATAATATTCTTTTTTTTTCTTCAGCTTCTCAGCAGTCTGGAATCTTAAATCCTTGCATCTGATTGGCTAATCACACCCTCCAGTGGTCTGGATTTCCCATCCAGGCCCCGATTACAAATCATTCCGAAGTTTCCAATTTTTGCAAGTTTTCAAGCCTTTTGTTATGCCGAAAAACAATGTAAAATGTAAACATTTAACACAGAGTCAAACAGTTATGGATTCCAATAGCTTTTTGTACTTGAAAAGTCAAATTCATGCATATGCCAGATTTGAACTGGACGGCTTTAATTAAAATTCAACACAAAAGTTGCTTTCAAAGCAATACCATAGAGAAAAATAAACATGTTATTTGCTCGCCCTGGTCAATGGGTATTGGGGAAAACTCTGCCCTCAGTCTTGAGTATGGCCCAAGGCCACACGTATTTAAGACCTTGGGCACAGTTTTAAGCAACATGGACCTCCTGGCCAGCAGGTAACATATATTTCTTCTTGCCAAATGCTTAGGATGAACAAAACAAAAGAAATTGTTCTCCCTGGTTGATGC